ATGAGCCATGTCATACATGCATTTAAAAAAAAGATATTTATTTACTTGAAAATCAGATTTATGGAGAGAGGGAGACCGGGTGGCCACACAGCCAGGGCTGAGTCAGACTGAAGCCAGGAGCCAGGAGCTTCATGAGGATCTCCCATGTGGGTGGCTGGGGCCTAAACACTTGGGCCGTCTTCCACTGCGTTTCCCAGGCCATTAGCAGGGAACTGGATCGGAAGTGTAGCAGCCAGGAGATGAACCAGCGCCCATACAGGATGCTGGCATCATCACAGGCAGTGGTTTTACCCATTGCACCACAACACCTGCCCCTCTGCATGCATTGCTAAAATAAAAAATCAAATTTCATCTTACTTGAATTTAGCCACAGACAGATCTGTGTATCTAAAATGAAGTGGAGGGAAGCACTCCCTGTCAGAAAAGCATTTCTTTGCTGTTGGATATAATACAGCACCCCTCCTCCCCGGCATGGGGCTTCCCGTTTACCTTCCAGTTACCTGCAGTCAGCCACGGCCTGAAAATACTGCATGGAAAATCCCAGAAATAAACAATTCATACGTTGTAAATGACGCACGGGTCCAGGGGCGTGATGGGGCCTCACAGCGTCCTGCTCTGTCCCCTCTGGCATGTGAGCCACCCCTTTGCTGGCTCATCCGTGCTGCGTGTGCCGTGTTAGGACACATGCACTGTCAGGGCTTGTGAGGGACCTACCCCTGCTGTGCTCAGTGATGGCCCCGGAGTGCGGCAGCCATGATGCTGGTGACTTCAGCACAGCCTGGCGTTCCAGCTCTTCTGCTTGCTGTCGTTGCTTTTCATCTCTTACTGCACCTAATCTATAAACCACACAGCATCTATCGGGGTTTAACCCTTTCTGCAGGTTCAGGTATCCCATAGGAGTCTTGGAACTTATCCTCCTTGCCTTGGGGAGGTTGTCTGTAGTTCCTAAAAGGTTAAAATTAAAGGGAGGGGACAGCACTGTGGTGCAGCAGGTTAAAGCCCCAGCCTGCAGCACCGGCATCCCATATGGGCGCCAGTTCAAGTCCTGGGTGCTCCTCTTCCGATCCAGCTCTCTGCTATGGCCTGGGAAAGCAGTGGAAGATGACCCAAGTCCTTGGGCCCCTGCTCCCGCATGGGAGACCTGGAGGAGGCTCCTGGCTCCTGGCTCCTGGCTTCAAATCAGCCCAGCTCTGGCCATTGTGGTCATTTGGGGAGTGAACCATTGGATGGAAGCCCTCGCTTTCTTTCTCTCTCTGTCTCTCCTTCTTTCTCTGTGTAAACTCTAACTTTCAAATAAATAAAATAATTCTTTAAAAAAATAAAAGGGAGAAAAAGAGGGGAGAAAACAAATAGCATTATTGAGAGAGAATTCACAGACTATACAGCTCATTCATTTAAAAGCATATAGTCCAACATTTTGGAATATTATATCACTGATTTTTTTAAGATTATGATAAATGTATATGTAACAAAATCTGCCATTTTAACCATTTTTAAGTGTCCGATTCTGTGACACTAAGGACATCCATGATATTGTGCAGCCATCACCACCTCCATTTTCAGACGATGATGTAGCGCGTAAAAACCTGTGATGCATTTGTTCTCTTTCCCATCTCCCTCTGAGCCAGCCAGCTCATGTTTTAGCATTCGCCTCTTTCACTTGTCAAATAATTTCTTTCTTTGTTGTTAAAAAAATTGTATTTGAGGGGCTGGCCTTGTGGCGTAGTGATTAAAAAAGCCACCACCTGCGATGCCAGCATTCCCACATGTCCCAGCTGCTCCACTTCAGATGCAGTTCCCTGCTAATGCACCTGGGAAGAACAGCAGATGATGGCCCAGGTGCTTGGCCCCGGCTACCCATATAGGAGACGCAGATGAAGCTCCTGGCTTCAGCCTTGCCCAACCCTGGTCGTTGCGGCCATCTGGGGAATGAACCAGTAGATGAAGGATTCTCTGTCTCTCTCGCTCTCCCTCTCCCTCTATAACTCTGACTTTCAAATAAATAGATAAACCTTAAAAAATGTTTTTATTTGGGATTGAGGGAGGGAGAGAGAGAGGGAGGGAGAGGGAGGGAGAGGGGGAGAGAGAGAGAGAGTCCTTCTTTCTGGGGAGGATAGGGAAATAAGCGTTACTGTGCCATCTAGCCAACGTCAGGTGTCCTGGTGCAGGTGCGGAAAGAAACAGGCCTGGCCTTGCTCCTTTGGCATGAGTTCCTGGAAAGACACTTCCCAAAGTCATCAGGCTTAGACGTCACTCAGGCCTGTTCCCCAGCTCTGTCCCTCTTCTGGGAGCTGAGCCCTGTGCCTTCTGAGAGAGGAGCCCCCACAGATGTGGGGTGAGCAAGGTCTTCCCAGGAGATACTTTGCAGGATGCCGTCGGCTTCTGGGTGAGAATGTGCAGCCTGATGCTAGTGAGTTTCAGTCCACCCTGGTCTGCCCCAAACCTGTTCCTGAACCTCTGCCAACTGGGCACATGGGTGAGTAGTCACACAGGCTGTGGGGAATGCCTGGGGTCAGCCTCCAGCCCTCTCCTCCTCTGAGGCAAGTGGTTGTGGGATGGCCTCAGCGTGCCCAGCCCCTCATCTCCCCAGTACTCAGCTTGCACATTCTAGGGGTGCACTAGAGGAAGACTGCTCCTGCTGCATTGCGTTCCTCCCTCAGGGCCTTTGCTCATGCGATCCCTGCTGTTGGAGCGGGGCCTTCTCCCACCTGCTCCCAGTGCTACCAGCAGAATCCAGTCCACTCAGGACTCAGAGATGAACATTGCCCCCAGTCACTGAGTCCGATGGTCGTCAGAACAGTCATGTGGCTGCCCCCCGGTCAGTCCTAGGCTTTGCCTCCCAGCCCAGTCCTGCCTGGGCAGTAGAAGCCACCCAGAGGCCTCTGGGGCCCCTGGCTCTGTGTCTCTCTGCATGTACAGGTGTGGACTGCATCTGCATGACCACAGCTCAGCTGGCAGCTTGTGTGTGGGATGTTCAGACAGGTGCTCTCAGAGCCCCCGGCTGTCATCTGAGGAGATGGAGGTGTTTACGGAATACACCTAGTCCTCCTCCAGGGGTTCTGCCTGGCCCCAAACCTGTGCACCCACAACAACGCCTGATGGCCCGAGATGCCAAGAGAAGGGGAATGGGCTGTTCTGGGTGTAAGTGAGCATGGGCAGATTGTTCTGTGCAGAGCAGTTAAGACCCCAAAAGGCCAGATTGCATAGCCTCCTAGGGTCTCTGCGGAACCTGGGGGTTGTGTGTGAGCTCCCTGCAGTCTAGATAACCATGTGGGGCTTGCTGAGGTCAGCCTGGGCCGCTGTACGCACCCCAGCAGTCAAGGAGTGCACAGTGCCTGTGTGACGCCTGTAGGACCTCCAGGGTGGGCAGTCCTGGGCAGAGAAGAATGATGTGGAAAAGCTCCCGGCCCACGGAGCCTCGGTCTCCCCTTTGCTGTCTCCAATGGCAGTTTCCTCTGACTTCTCCCCAGTGCAGGGTGCTGTCTCATCCGAGCACAGCCTTTGGGGGTTCCGTGCCTCTGCTCTGTGGTAGGTCTGCTGGATTTTGGGGGTAAGTGAGCAGCAGTTGTCACTTTACTGTTAGCTCTGTTGGGCAGCCTGTGGGCAGGTACCTCCCTGGAAGCAGGCACAGTGTGGCAGGTACAGTGTGGCTGCTTGTGAGGCCACCCGCAGGGTGCAGAGAGGACTGGACCCCCCAGGGCGAGGGGAGCGGGAGCGAGGCTTCGGATATAAATCCGGGGTCTTTCACGGCTCCAGGATTTGTCTTGTCTGTGGCCAGCAGATGTTGGGTGTGATTTAGGGGTGTGTGAAGTGAGGGGCGCCCACTGGCTATACTGACGTGTATTTGGACTGTATTTAGAGCGACTGGAGGTGAGTGTTCGAGTTGGGTGCCGGCAGGCTTTGGGCTGATGGTCTGCCTGCTGTGCAGAAGTTAACAAACAGGGTCATCTGAGGGGAAGCGACATCTTGCCCCGCCCCCCGTCTCCCAACAGGGGCTCGTAAGAATCCTGTCGCCCCAGTGTGCCCATCTTCCCGGGCATTCTGGCAAGTTTGTTTTTCTCAGTGCCCGGGTGACACTTACACGCCCGGAATGGACCTGGCACCGTGGGGAAGCTGCCTGGCTGGCCAGGACCCTGCTCTCACCACTCTGCCGGTGTCCTGCCCCGGTCACCATGACTCCTCGCTGACCTCTGGCCTCAGAGTGCTCTTTGTAAAACACCGTCCAGATTCTGCCACTCCCCAAAGTCAGGAGTGTGGGGCCTCCGCAGGTGACAGAGCCACTCACAGTGGAGCTCAGCCAGCGGAGCAGGAGCTGTCCTGGGAGATCTCAGCACCAGGAACTGAGGGTGTGACCCCTTCCCGGGGTCTTCTGGAAAAATGCCATTGCCATAGGTGCACATCTTCCTCAAATCCATTTTCTGTCACCTTAAATAGACGTTCCCAAGAACACTATTTGCTTACCTTCTTTCTCTCTTCATCTCCAAGACTTAACCCCGTATTAGCAATAGAACAGGTGCCAGTTGATGCTTATTGCTGGACTGAACTGGAACCAACCCTTAGCTCACCCAGGGGCCTCCGCCAAGATGCAGCAGTGCCGTCTGCACCGCGCACTGCCGGCATAGCGATGGCCCCGGCACCCAGGGGCTCAGCCTGCAGATTTTCCTATCTCTTGCATCTGTTTTTCAGTTTTGTCTTCCTTGCCTCCTTCCCCATGACCAGCCATGCGCGGGGTCTTTGGGGGAAGGGGCCTCTGCCATGCATTCTGTGAGTGAAACGGAGCATGGCGTTCTTCCCAGCCCCTGCCAGCAGGGCGGCATTGCTCGCGGCTGCTGGTGAACCGGAGTCACACACAGCCCCTCGCTCGGTCCGTGCCGCAGAGAGGCGAGGGAACTCGCCCGAGGTCCCTTGAGCGGCTCACGCTGGAGTCGAGACCAGAGTTGCAGCCCTGGGTCTAGACCAGGCCTGCCCTCCGTGCCGTGGCATCCACAGCCCTTGCACAAAGTGACCGACTTTTCCTCTCTGCTTGTCCTCTCTCAGGGGTCCCTGGTGAATTCGGCCATGGTCATTTAAGGAACCTCTGCTAGGAAGAATTTCCCCTCGCAGTTCCCTTGGCGGGAAGGCTTGGACTCCAAGATGATCATAAAGGAGTATCGGATCCCCCTGCCGATGACCGTGGAGGAGTACCGCATCGCCCAGCTGTACATGATCCAGGTGGGTCACAGGCCGAGGGGTGGGAGCGTGGCCTTCACAGCACAGGGTCTGCCCCCGGCTCCTGAGAGAGGCCTCCGAGCACCACACAGCACACAGGGTGTCCTGAGGGTGACTATGGCGTGGCACTGTTCTGCCAGGGCTGTGTCCTCGGCGCTTAGGATGCCGGCACTCGTCCTTCTGCTCAGCACCCATCCTCTCACTGACCGGGATCACCCCGTCTTAGCTCAGCTACAGTCCTGTGATCCTGCAGTCATGGGGGCCGGAGGCAGGTTCAGTCCCGTGCAAGGGCTCCCTCCCCAGCTCGTCCATGACGGGCAGCTCTGGCGTCTCTCCCTGTTCTTCAAAGGACGCTGATCTCCGTACAAGGGCCCCCTCCTCGTGACTTTACCTAAACCTGGTCACCTCCCGAAGGCCCCACGTCCACACTGTGACACTATGGGAGCACCGCATTCAGTTCCTACTGTGGGGAGCAATCCGGACTAGACTAAGTTACTCGAATTAGGACTTATTCTATGCATCTGCTCTCCCACAATATGGCGCTGGGAGAGAAGTAAACAGCTTCCGCACAGCTGCCTCCAGTTCAACCAATTAACTGTAGGACTTGCTCCTGATTGGAGAGCAGCGTACTCGGCGTGTGGGCAGCCGAGTTGGGATTGGCGGAGGAGGACTATAAAGGAGGAGAGAGACGGCATGCACCAGGAACATCTATGGGGAACATCTAAGGGGAACACCTGTGCAGCCCCCGAGAAGAGAGCCGGCCGGTGGTGTGCCGCTCCCCTGCGGAAGTGGGGAATGCGGCCAGGGGGAACTGCCCTTCCACGGAGGTGGAAGGGATAGTAGCCAACCCGGGAAGAACCAGCAGCAAACCCGGGGAGGGCCGAGCAGACGAAGGAACAGCGCAGGGTCTTGTGTCGTTCCTCCACGAAGAGGGGGAGCGACATAATGGTGCTGTGACTCGGATAGGAAACCTAGCTCGGATAGGAAACCTAGCTCGGATAGGAAACCTGACTCGGATAGGAAACCTAGGACGGATATGAAACTTAGGAGGAAAGAAACGGGAAGAACTGGGAAAATACCGGAGAGAGAGACTAGCAAACAGCCTAGGGAAAAGCCGGACGAAAAGGGTGCCGGAAGGAGCTATTGAAAGCCTAGGCATAGACTCGGATACGGACTACGGGGGGAAGCTGGGAGAAATTTCTAAGGGCGAAAGCGAAAGTGAAAGCTAGAACAAACAGACTCGGACGCGGACTGTGGGGAGAGGCCAGGAGAAATGAGGGAGGAATATCGTTGGAGGAAAGCTTGGGGAAACATACCGGGTAGAGAAAAATGTTAGGGAAATTGAAGCCGCGGGGGGCAGGCCGAGGCGGAAACGGAAGCCACTTTGGGGTTCTCAAGTTAGCCCGGGAATAGGGGGCGAAAAGTTGAAACCAGAAGCTGAAACGTGAGCCAGGTTGGGATCCGTCTGATTAGCCCGGGGAGCAAAGGACGGGAAGCCAAACCGTGGGGCGGAGACGTACGCTGGGTTGAATTCGCCAGGCTAGCCCGGGGAACTTAGATTGAATGCTAGTGGCGGACACGTAAGCTACGCTGTGTTACTCGCGGAAGCCGCCGCGTGCAGAGAGCACGGGGCGTGAATAGATAGGGAACGGGGCTGGCGTAGGCCGTGGTTCAGACGCGAAAGGGTTAAGCGTGGAGACCGCGGAGCGCGGGAAGCCGAGCCGCGCAAAGCCGGGAAGCTGCGCAGATGAGAGAGGCGCGCGGGCTGAAGCGGCGCAGAGCCGGGAACCCGCCGGCGGGGCGAGGTGCCGGAAAGCCGCAGGGATAAGAGAAACAGAAGTTTAGAAGTAAAGTGAGAAAAATAGGAATGCTGGAAGATAGAAGTAAAATGGGAGAAATAGGAATGCCCGGAGATAGAGAAATAGAGAAATAAAAAGGCCTCCCTACAACACTGCAATGTGAGAGCTTGGATTCGGTCTGCCTAATCAAGTGAGGCGATGAGCACCTGCGGGCAGCTAGCAGCTTATGCGCCGCAGGTCACCGAAGACAGGCACGAATTAACATCAGTAAGGCCTCCCCACAAAAAGGCAATTAGAAGGCTTGGATTCGGTCTGCCTGATTAAGGCGGTAAGCGCCAGCAAGCAGCTCGACCAGAGTATGAGCTGCAGGTCACCAAAGATAGGCACGAACCAACACTAATAAGTCTCCCCCACAATAAGGCAATGAGAAGGCTTGGATTCGGTTTGCCTGATAGGTCTTGTAAGTCCCCTGCAGGCAGAGCAGAGCATGCGCTGCAGGGCACCGAACACAGGCACACATCAGCGCCTAAAAACCTCCTCACAACATGGCGAAGAGAGGACCCGGATTCGGTTTTCCTGATTGATAGGACTTGTAAGAGCCTGTGGCAACTCTAGCAAGTAGAGCAGAGTGTGTGCCGCGGGACACCGAAGACAGGCGCGTATCAACGCCAAAAATAAAAAGAAAGGGGGATCTGTGGGGAGCAATCCGGACTAGACTAAGTTACTCGAATTAGGACTTATTCTATGCATCTGCTCTCCCACAATATGGCGCTGGGAGAGAAGTAAACAGCTTCCGCACAGCTGCCTCCAGTTCAACCAATTAACTGTAGGACTTGCTCCTGATTGGAGGGCAGCGTACTCGGCGTGTGGGCAGCCGAGTTGGGATTGGCGGAGGAGGACTATAAAGGAGGAGAGAGACGGCATGCACCAGGAACATCTATGGGGAACATCTAAGGGGAACACCTGTGCAGCCCCCGAGAAGAGAGCCGGCCGGTGGTGTGCCGCTCCCCTGCGGAAGTGGGGAATGCGGCCAGGGGGAACTGCCCTTCCACGGAGGTGGAAGGGATAGTAGCCAACCCGGGAAGAACCAGCAGCAAACCCGGGGAGGGCCGAGCAGACGAAGGAACAGCGCAGGGTCTTGTGTCGTTCCTCCACGAAGAGGGGGAGCGACACCTACACCCCACTGGACAGACAGGAGGGTGTGAGGCTCAGAGAGGTTGAGCGACTTGCCCAGCAGCACGCAGCCTGTCTCCCTGCTCTAGGCCTGTATTCTCCTCACTACCCTGGTGCCCTCACAACGGCAGTGTAGGAGACATGGCTGATGTACAGAGCAACACACAAGTTTAGGGATGCTGGTGACAAGCCAGAGGAGACTCCCTACTCCCTGAAGACATCGCCACTCTCCCCGCTCAGCGTCTGAACAACCTGGAACACAGGATTGGGTCCCAGGTCCGTGTGGTCCTCGTCCCAGCTCCTGCTCAGCCCCAGTGCCTGGCCTCTGCCCAGCCCGGCAGCTTCCCTCCAGGCGAGGGCCTCCCGCACTGGGGACAGCTGCTCAAGGCCTGGCTCGGCTTCTCTGGTCCCTGCTTCCCTGGGGGACTGCCTTGGTCCAGATTCTTGTTGTGCAGCCTCTGATCCCAGCGTCAGACTGAGCCAGTCTGCAGAGAGAGGGCCTGGCTGGCGGGGTCTCCCCACCCTTCCCTGGGTTTGCGTGTGGACTCCCTCCTTCAGCCTGGGTCCAAGGAGGTAGTTGTGCACTCGGACAGAGCCTGGAGTCCCTACACCCCCCCCCTCCCCGGGAGATCTTGACGAAGCTCCGAGGGTTCGGCCGGGATCTCCATACAGGCGGCTTGGCTGGACGAGACCAGGAGGGGCACCCGGCCTCCCTGGGACTGTTGGCTCTGAGCTGCTTCAGAAGCACCACTCAGTTCCCTCTTGGACCACTTACCCCTTAATTATTCTAGAGAGTGGGGAGGAAAAGGGGTGTAGATCAGCCCCCCAGCTCTCAGCACTCCGGAAAGAGCTCAGCACTTCAAGGAGCAGGCTCGTCTGCCAGCACTGCTGCTGGCTTGTCGATCCCCGACCCCAAGGCCCAGACAGCCCCGGCTGCACGCAGTCTCCTGTGATGGACATCTGGCTGAGAGCACCGGACATCCCAAAGCTTTTCTCTTTTTTCTTAAGAGACAGAGACAGCTCTCCCATCCACTGGTTCACTCCTCAGATGCCCAGTAGCTGAGACTGGGCCAGGTGTAATCCAGGAGCAGGTCTCCCACATGGGTGGCAGGGACCCAAGTCCTTGAGCCATCATTTTCCTTCCAGAGTGTACATTAGCAAGAAGCTGGAGTCGGAAGCAGGGCCAGGACTCAGACCCAGGCCCTGTGATGTGGGATGCAGGCGTCCCAACTGGCATCTTAACCATGGGTCAGATGCCTGACCCCCAGATCTTTTCTTGAGTGTAAAATCACCTCTAGGAACCAACATTGTGGCCTAACAGGTTAAGCTGCTACCTATGATGCCAGCATCCCATATGGGTACCTATTCAAGTCCTGGCTGCTTCACTTCACTTCTGATCCAGCTCCCTGCGAATGTGCCTGGGAAAGCAGCAGAAGATGGCCTGAGTGCTTGGGAGACCTGGGCGAAGCTCTTGGCTCCTGGCTTCAGCCTGGCCCAGCCCTGCCTTTGCAGCCATCTGGAGAGTGAACCAGTGGGTGGAGGATCTCTCTCTCTCTCTCTCTCTCTCTCTCTCTTTCTCTCTCTGTATGTATGTATGTATGTGTGTGTGTGTGTATAAATATATATGTGTGTGTGTATGTGTCCTTTTCCTCTGTAACTCTGCCTTTCGAATAAATAAATAAATCTTTATAAAAAGAATCCCCTCTAAGTCTGGGCACCTAGAGACACCTGCCATCTCCGTGGTGCCTCCTTGTGCCTCCCAGCGAAGCTTGTCATTCAGCCTCTCTGGCCCTGTGTTATCCTTAGATCTTCTTCCACCCAGACCTCATCCATGAGCCCACACGTGCGGTGTGTACGGATGAGCGCTGAGCCATTAGCTGTGGTTATGGTGGAGGGAAACGCCCCCCTGTGTTGCAGGTCATGGGCGTCAACCCTGTCACACCCCTGAGTGCTTGTTGGACTCAACTCTGGAGCTCTGAGCTTCCGGGGTCTTCCCCCGTGCTTCTTCCGGTGGGCAGGCCTGTGAGTGTGCGTCTCCCCTATTCAGACAGGAAGGGGAAGCCAGGCAGGGGGTTTCTGGAAAGAGGACTCACATGCAGGGTAGGGCAAAGGAGTTGCACACGTGTACACTTGTGCACTCACACTCCAGTTCTCATCAGCTTCAGGGGTGCCCTCAGGCCCCAGAGGGCCGTGACACGCCTCAAAGCTGCTGTGAGCGCCAGCGCAGCTTCCTCATCCACGACAAGGTTCCTGCTGTGGAGGGACCCCAGGCTCTGCCCAGCCGCCTGGCTGTCATGCCCTAGACTTTCCTCTTGGCCTACACAGGCAGGACAGGAGAGCGGAATCGAGTCTCCGTGGTGAAGGCCTTGTGGCCAGTTCTGAACTCGGACTTCTGTGTTCAGAGTCAGAGGCCCCGGAGGTAGATGTAGGTCTGGGAGCTGAGGTGTAGGGTCAGCATTTTCAGATGACTGCAGAGCTGAGGAGTGGCCAGTTGGAGCAGCTGTGGGCCAGGCTGACCCTGGTGTGAGTTCCAGCTCTGGAGAGGAAGCGGTGAACTCTCCACGCCTGTTTCTTCATCTGTGACGTGAGCCAGCCTTCACAGAGCACAGCTACTTTCCCATTTTACAGATGGGGAAACCGAGGCCCTGAGAGGCCGGCTTGGAGCTGAGATCCATTGGCTCCCAGGCACCTCCCTGGCCCTGGTGGGTTGGGGGGAAGCTGCTGTCAGCCCACAGGTGAAAAGTACATGGCAGATAGGGGGCGAGAAGACGGGAGAGGGTGAGGAGGCCCCCCAACTCCTGAATCGGGACAAGCAGGGTTGTGAGGAACCGCCCTCTGCTGAGCCTCCCCCCAACACCCCCAGCTTCCCCCAGCTTCACCCACCTCCTCCAAGAGGGTCCTGGTTAGCAGTGCTGTGAGCTGTGACCCCCATGGCTTAAGAGAAGGCCAACCTGATGTGAACTGCAACTCCAACACTCACCTCACGCTTCCTGTCACAAAGACTCCCAGTGACAGCTCTCCTGCCACCTCTTGGGGTCCTGCCCACCCCCTGAGGCCAGCGGGGTTGCTCCTCCTTCCAGGGCCTGTGGGTGCTCGCTCTTCCCAGCCCCCCCAGCCGGTCTGCCCCCCGAGACCCAAGCCCCCACTCCTGCTCCAGCTTTGCCTTCCCTGCCTTGGATCCTGGGGCCTGCATCACTGCTGTACGATACGGGTTGGCAAGGTGTGAGACGTGTCAACCAAGCTCTCCTTTTCCTTACACATATACTGCTCAGCGACGGCGTTAGAACAACGCTGCCCTCAGCAGGCTTTGCTGCCTGCCCTGTGCCAAGGGCAGAGTTGAGTGAAGGCCTTCCTGCCTCTTCTCCAGGACACAGACAGGGATGCGGCCCACCCAGTACAGGCAGGAGCCGGGAGGGTGTGGGAGACAGGGAGGTGGGTGTTCACACAGGATCCAGGCCAAGCACCCCAGCGGCACACGTGTCTGAGCTGAGCCTCACGCCGCATTTCTCTAGAAAAGGACAGAGGCTTTGGTTCATTTCCCACCCCTGCTGCTCACCAGCTTGGGGGAGCCTGAGAAAGGGTCTGCCCTCTAACCCTCAAGGACCGAGCTCATGTGCTGGGGAGCCGAGCGCCATCCCTGAGCAGCCCTCAGCGTATGTGGTGACAGCAGTCAGCATGGCCAGGAGAGAGCTGTCCATCTGAGGGCAGTGAGCAGAGGCGGCTTGGCCAGGACCCTGGACAGCTCCAAGAGCTGCTGCCCTGGGGGTTTCTTGGTTTTTGCATCTTTCCCCGACTTCATCAGCCGCAGGGCAGCTGGGCCTTGCTGTGCTGGCCGTAGGCGCCGTCTCTGGGGGAGGCAACACAGCGCTGCCTATGGGAGTGGCCAGCAGGAATGAGCAGGTGGTGTCCCGTGTGGTCAGAGAACAGAGAGGATCAACAGGAGCTGGATGCTAGATGGCGTGACAGCCGCAGCTGGGTCGGGAGGCAGGGAGAGCCAGAGGTCAGCTTGGGGGATGCTGCCTACTCCTGGGAATGCCAGGCCCAGAGTTTCCGGTGACAGTTGGGACTGGAATGCATGGACTTGTTCAGCCAATGTGTACCAAGCATCTCCCCCACAGAGGCACCGAGGTGTTGTGTGGGGAGCACCAGCTTGGGGGCAGTGCTGGGGCCCTGCAGCTCGGTCACTAACTGCGGCCCCGCAGCCCTGGGCAGCCCTCCTGTGAGTGGCAGTAGCCACCCGTAACCACCACCTGGTGATGGCAGCCCCGTGCCCAAGCCTGAAGTACATCACCATGCCCTGTGGGGTTGGTGGTGTTCACCCCAGGTGGTCTCACCCCAGGTGAGAGCCAGAGGCTCAGAGACTCTGAGGAACTTGCCCAAGTGTGCACAGCTGGCCCGATGAAGCCAGTCTCTGTCCAGAGACGTGGCTGGCTGCCTTTTCCTTAAGCGCTGTGACCACATCTCTTAACCTTCTCTGAGGCCAGAGCTGTGGGCATGACAGCAGAGAGGCCCTCTGTCCCCGCCAGCCTCTGAGATCCTTGCTGTTCCTACACGGTCCCACCCACCCCAAGACTCAGACACGTGCAGCAGGAGGCCGGCTTGGGGGCAGCGAGGCCAGAGTGCTGTGGCCAGCCCAGAGGCACTGCACGCTGGGGAAGTGGCTGGACGGGAGGCGAGGGGCCCACCTGGCGGGCAGGTGGGTGTTCCCGTGTACCCCACCAGCAGGCTGAAGCTAACAGGAGGCTTCTGCGAATGGTCCCCAGCTGACTGACCAGTGTCCAAAGGTGTAATTAGTTACAGACCCTGAGATGAAGTTTTCTTGGATTTAGGGCGGCCCTAGATTGAATGACTCTTGTCCCCTTAAGAAGAGGAGAGGATAGAGAACGAAGGAAGACAGAGCCAGAGGTTGAAGGGGTGCAGTCACGATGCAAGGAATGCTGGGACTACAGGGGCTGCTGAGATGGGTGAGGCCGGGAGGGTCCTCCCAGAGCCTTTGAGCTGCTGGGGTGGGCATGCTGGCTTTCCCTGGAGGGCCCGAGGATGACAGGCTAAGCCAGGGGCTTCTGTGCAATCCCTCTGCCAGCGTCTGCAGCCTTCCTTGGTCCTTCTGCACCCTACAAGGCAGGAGGGGCCTGATCTCAGCCCCCATAGGCAGCCTGGCCTCTGGCCTGTACATGCACCCCCAGGGACGGCTGTACCAAATGCCACAAACTGGGTGAGGTAAAACCACAGGGATCGATTGTCTCACAGCTCAGGAGGCCAGAAGCCAAAGTCAAGGTGTCCGCTGGGCCACACTCCCTCCGTCCCGAAGCCCAGGGAGAGGCTCCTCTCCATGTCTTCCACCCACTTCACATATTCCTTGGCTTGTGGCTGCGTCACTCCAGTTACACCTGCAAAGACCCATTTCCAAATGAGGTCATGTCCCGAGGTTCTGGCTAACAGAAATCAGGGTTGGGGGAGCACTTCAGCTGCTGATCCAGGACTTGGGTAATAGGTAAGTCGGTCCTCACATCTCGTTTTGGGAAACTGAGACCAAAGAAAAGAAATTGCTTGTCCAGGACAAGAGGGAGTTTTTCACAGAGCTGGGCCTAGAATCTGTTTGTTCAGTACCCATTTGCCCAGCACTTACCTGGTGCCAGGTAGCCTGCCTTGTGGCAACTCAGTGCCAGTGGGCTGAGCAGGCCCTGGCATCAAGCAGGTCCGGCTGAGGTCGAGGCTGGCTTTGCAGTGTAGTAACTGCAGACTTGGACAAGTAACCACCCGCCTAGCCTCGACACTGTCTCATCTGCAAATTGGGAATAATAGCCATGCTGCACGCTTTTCGAGGCGTGCTTCTGTAACCGAAGGGGAACAACCATGGGAGGTGCTCAGCACAGCCGTGGATAAACGGAGCCACTGGGAAAGGCAGAGGTGAGCCAGTGTCCAGGGACGGGAGCACCCTTCACAGCAGATCTGACCCACACTCCCGGAGTTCTGAGAGAGGGAGGGGATTGCCTGCACCTGCTGAGACCCCACCTGAGGCCTCAGGCGAGGCCTTTTCCTTTTCTACCGAAGGGGACTCCGTCACTCTGAGCCTTGGAGATGGAGCACACCTTAGTGCCCTAGAGGGGGCCATCGGGAGCACCTGTGTGCACATATGTGTCTGTGTGCACAGGTGTGGGTGTGTGCAGCTGGGGGCGGGTGCTGCACCTGCTGTTCAGGAACTGACCCAAGATGGCTTTGGCAGGGCCGCCACATCACCATGGAAACAGGTGCTGGGCAGCTCAAACACGAGCAGAAGGCTGAGCTCCCGGGCACTGGGAAGGGCACTTGTGGCAGAGACACCTCCAGGTGACCCGGGTCATCCCTCTCAGTGCCACTGAGGCCCCGCCCACTCATTTTCTCTCTTAGATTTCCATGCGTACAGAGAGGCAGGATTGAGTGCTGTGTGTCTTGTTCTATAACAGTTTTATTGAGTTGTGAGTCTCACTCCCCCTGATCCGGTCAGCGGTGTTGAGCACATTCAGAGTCGTGCAGCCATCACCACAGTCGATCTTAGGACATTTTTATTTATTTCCCCCAAAAGAAGTCGCTGTCCACTTCCCCTGACCCAGGGTCCCCCTTATCTGCTCTGTGTCTATCCTGGAAAGTTCATGTTGGTAGAAGCATTCGCAGGGTCTTCAAAAGCTTGTGGGGGTGGCCAGCACCAGTGGCTCACTAGGCTAATCCTCCACCTGTGGCACCGGCACCCCGGGTTCTAGTCCTGGTTGGGGTGCCGGTTCTGTTCCGGTTGCTCCTCTTCCAGGCCAGCTCTCTGCTGTGGCCCGGGAGTGCAATGGAGGATGGCCCAAGTGCTTGGGCCCTGCACCCGCATGGGAGACTAGGAGGAAGCACCTGGCTCCTGGCTTCGGATCAGGGCAGGGCACCGGCCGTAGCGGCCATTTAGGGAGTGAACCAACAGAAGGAAGACCTTTCTCTCTCTCTCTCTCTCTCTCTCTCTCTCTCTCTCTCTCTCACTGTCTAACTCTGCCTGTCAAAAGCTTGTGGGGAGAGCATGTTATGAAGAACATAGTGTAGATTTCAGTTAATTCCATTTCTCCACAGCCTTTCTTGAGTACCCCTTCTGTGGCACGTGGCCCTCGGTGTCTGGCATCTGTCACTCAGCACCCTGCTCCCAAGGCTCCATGTTGTGGCAGGAGTCGGCGCTTCATTTCTTGGGCTGTGTGTGGGAACGGTCACATGTCGTGCCCACTCCTCTGCTGATGGGCGGCTGAGCTGTTTCCGCCTGATGGCTCAGGCCTAGAGGTGCCGCTGTGAAGGTTAACCAGTAAGGTTTTTGTGTGCACCTTTGTTTTCCTCTTCTTGTATATGGAGCCAGGAGGGTGATTGCTGGGTCACATGGGACCTCTGGGCGTAACTCCCTGGGGGAACCGCCAGACTCTTCCGCGGCAGCTGCTCCGTTCCACGTTCCCCCAGAAGCACGCGAGCATCCCACTTCCACGTCCTCACCAGCACTCACTGTCATCCGTCTTTTTAACCTCCCCGGTGGGTACGAAGCAGCATCTCATCACACTTTTGATTTTCATGGCCCATTTGTGTGTCTTCTTTGGAGAAGTGTCCACTCAAGTCCTTTGCTCATTTTTTTTTTAAAGATTTATTTATTTATTTGGAAGTCAGATTTACACAGCAGAGAGAGGAGAGGCAGAGAGAGAGCGGTCTTCCATGTGATGGTTCACTCCGCAATTGGCCACAATGGCCAGAGCTGCGCTGATCTGAAGCCAGGAGCCAAGAGCCTCCTCTGGGTCTCCCATGCGGGTGCAGGCGCCCAAGGACTTGGGCCATTTTCTACTCCTTTCCCAGGCCACAGCAGAGAGCTGGATTGGAAGAGGAGCAGTCGGGTCTCGAACCGGCGCCCATATGGGATGCTGGTGCTTCAGGCCAGGGCATTAACCCACTGTGCCACAGCGCCGGCCCCTTTGCCCATTTTTTAACAGGGTTGTTTGTCCCTTTATTGCTGAGCTGTAGGAGTTTTTTAAATATATAATCTGGATACATATCCTTTATAAGATGTATTATTTACAATATTTTCTCCGCCACACAGTGGGGCTCTTTTAATGGTCTTTGAAGCACAAAAGTCATTAATTTTAATGAGGTCCAATTTATCTTTTTTTTTTCTTTTGTTGCTTGTGCTTTTGGTATCATGACTCTAAAACCATTGTCTAATCCAAGGTCATGAAGACTTACGCCTGTGTCTTCTCCTGCGAGTTTTATAGTTTCCTCTTTGCATTTACGAGAACGTGGCTTTAATGAGCTGTCAGCCACAGCCAGTGAGAGGCCCTGTTTTTTGGGGGAGTCTGAGGACCTGTACGGTGCCCACCTCCCCAGATGCCTGTGGTCCTCGAGCCGCGTCGCCCCCGCACGAGCTTCTCCATGCACACCACGGGTAGGCCCTCCCCACAGCGTGTCTCTGCAGGTCTCATCTAAGCCTCGGGGGCCTCTTTCTCTAGCGCTGACTCTGGGCACGCTGGCTGTCTACATGTCCACTGAACCAGTGGGCCCTTGGCTCCTGCGTGCTCACACATACATGCCGCACATGTGTGTACACACACAGGCACCCTGAGCATCAGCTCTGTCACAGGGACACAGGACAGTCCTGAGTCACGCGCCAAGTCCAAGGCTGGGGCCAGGCTCTTCGTCAGTGACTGCCACTTATAGGTGTCATCCTATCGGTGAACTGGCAGCCTGCACCTGGCCCTGACCTCACGTAGGGTCACAGAGTGCATCACGCGCCAGGAGCAACAGTCATGAGAAGCCACTGGCTCAGCAGGGAGACTGAGCCGTGACCGGCAGCCAGGGCAGTGGAGAATGAGTGGGTCAGAGCCAGGCTTGCGTGGTTCTGCTGGGCAGGGCTCTGGGGAGACAGCAGAGGACGTGGAGCCCTTGAGTGTGGACGCAGCCCCTGGCCAGCGCCCCTCCATCAGGCCCAGCCCCCTCATTCCCACAGGTGGTGCCCAGCCCCATACAGTCAGCAAGAGGCTGTCCAGTGTACACACAGGTTCTTGTGTTCCGGGGTGTTGTGCAGCTTCCTCTCTGCCTCTGGCACTCCACGTCTCAGTTTCCTTATCTGTGGAACAGGTCGCAGTGACCCACGGTGTCACACAGAGGAGGGTGGGTAGGTGTGCGGGCAAGCTGCAGACAGGCAGGGCCAGGGAGGCTCTGCCCAGGCTCTCTTCACTCCCTGCCCTGGGACCTCCTCTTCCAGGAAGCCTTCCTTCCCAGCTTGCACTGGCTCCCACTAATGACAGCTGGCCCCTATAGCCACTCTCTGAGTCTCAGTCCCAGCATGCTCTGTGAGCACTGATGTCACATGCCCTGCTCGTAGCCACCAGAGGAGCTGTCCTCTCCCCCGGAAGAGTCCTGTTCCGGGCCCCTCTCCTCTCCTCTCTGTGTGTGCCCAGGGCCAACAGCCAGCATCAGTGGCTGACCTCAGATCGGACGATGATGCCGGGCAGCGAACCCGGCAGGCCAGTCCCTCCCCTCCTGCCGGTGCCTCCGAGCGGTAGGAGCAAAGCGTTTCCCAGATGTGGCTCCTCACCCGTCCTTCAAAGAAGCTGAAACCACAGCAGGGGCTGGGTTTGGCGCCGTGGCCACCTCTCTGTTCCCTTCCGTGCAGGATGGTGCTGAGGCTTGGTGGCTTCCAAGAGAAAGAGGCTCTGCCCTGATGCAGTGGGTGTTTTTCTTTGTTTTTGTTGTTTTTTGTAAAGATTTATTTATGTGTTTGAAAGGCAGAGTTGCAGAGAGAGAGGGATAGACAGACATTTTCAACCTCAGCTTTCCTCCCCAAGTGCTTGCAATGGCCGAGGCTGGGCCAGACCGAAGCCAGGAGCCTCATCCAGTCTCTCACAGTGGGTAGCAATGGCCCGAGCACTGGGGCCGTCCTCCGCTGCTTTTCCCGGAACATTAGCCGGGAGCTGGATTGGAAGTAGAGCAGCCAGGACTTGAACCAGCACCCATGTGGGATGTGGGTGTCGCAGGCAGTGGCTTTACTGCCTCTCCATGATGCCAGCCCAGCGTTTTGCCTCTAGGCCTGCAGCTCTGAGCAGCAGGACAGTAAGGTCCTCGGAGCAGCCTGTATACTTAGACACACACCTCCATCTAATTCCTGATTCTTTCCACTCTTACCCAAGCAGCATACGTGAGTGTGGATCCTGAGTGGCCCACGATGGGCTTCTGTCCAGCTATGCGGGCAGCACTGGGTCAGAAGCAGGGCATTCTCAGTGTCCCGCAGACCCCATGCCCCCTCGATCCAGAGTTCTGATACAGCAGCTTCTTGAGCTGTATTGCACATGCTGTGTAATTCACCCACTAAGTGTACAGTGCGGTGGTTTTCTTAGTCTTCACAGAGTGGTGGAACCACACCCACAGTCTAATTCCAGGATTTTTTCGTCACCTGTAAAGAAACCCACACCCATTCGTGTCACTCCTCCTCTGCCCGTGCCGCGCAGCCCCAGGCTGACACTAGCCTGCTCTCCATCTCTCTGTGGAGTAGCCTGTTCTGGGCAATTTCATACCAGTAGAGTCACCAGTATATGGACTTTCTAACTGGTTCCTTCTACTCGCATCCTGTGTTCAGGGCTCTGTCATGTGGCATATCAGCACTTCATTCCTCGTGATGCCTGAATAGCACCCTTTGTACAGATTCACCATATTTTGTTCGTTTGTGTGTTGACAGACATTTGGATTGTTCCCACCTTTTGACTGTTGTGAGCCAAGCTCCCGTGAGTGTTGGTGTATAGGTGTGGGGGGGGCTGTCATGAGCCTTGCTCTAGTGAGTGTTGGTGTATAGGTTTGTGTGTGGCTGTTGGGAGCCAAGCTCCCATGAGTGTTGGTGTATAGGTTTGTGTGTGGCTATCGTGAGCTTTGCTGCAGTGAGTGTTGGTGTATAGATTTGTGTGTGGTTGTTGTGAGCCAAGCTCCCATGAGTGTTGGTGTATAGGTGTGTGTGTGGCTGTTGTGAGCCTTGCTGCAGTGAGTGTTGGTGTATAGGTGTGTGTGTGTGGCTGTTGTGAGCCTTGCTGCAGTGAGTGTTGGTGTATAGGTGTGTGTGTGGCTGTTGTGAGCCTTGCTGCAGTGAGTGTTGGTGTATAGGTTTGTGTGTGGTTGTTGTGAGCCAAGCTCCAGTGAGTGTTGGTGTATAGATTTGTGTGCGGCTGTCATAGCCAAGCTCCAATGAGTGTTGGTGTATAGGTGTGTGTGTGGCTGTCATGAGCCAGTGAGTGTTGGTGTATAGATTTGTGTGTGGCTGTCGTGAGCCAAGCTCCCGTGAGTGTTGGTGTATAGGTGTGTGTGTGGCTGTCATGAGCCAATGAGTGTTGGTGTATAGATTTGTGTGTGGTTGTTGTGAGCCAAGCTCCCATGAGTGTTGGTGTATAGGTGTGTGTGTGGCTGTCGTGAGCCTTGCTCTAGTGAGTGTTGGTGTATAGGTGTGTATGTGGCTGTCATGAGCCAGTGAGTGTTGGTGTATAGATTTGTGTGTGGTTGTTGTGAGATATGCTCCAGTGAGTGTTGGTGTATAGGTGTGTGTGTGGCTGTTGTGAGCCTTGCTGCAGTGAGTGTTGGTGTATAGGTGTGTGTGTGGTTGTTGTGAGCCTTGTTCCAGTGAGTGTTGGTGTATAGATGTGTGTGTGGCTGTCGTGAGCCAAGCTCCCGTGAGTGTTGGTGTATAGGTGTGTGTGTGGCTGTTGTGAGCCTTGTTCCAGTGAGTGTTGGTGTATAGATTTGTGTGTGGTTGTTGTGAGATATGCTCCAGTGAGTGTTGGTATATAGGTTTGTATGTGGCTGTCGTGAGCCAGTGAGTATTGGTGTATAGATTTGTGTGTGGCTGTCGTGAGCCAAGCTCCCGTGAGTGTTGGTTTATAGGTGTGTGTGTGGCTGTCGTGAGCCTTGCTCCAGTGAGTGTTGGTGTATAGGTGTGTGTGTGGCTGTCATGAGCCAGTGAGTGTTGGTGTATAGATTTGTGTGTGGTTGTTGTGAGCCAAGCTCCCGTGAGTGTTGGTGTATAGGTGTGTGTGTGGCTGTTGTGAGCCTTGCTCCCGTGAGTGTTGGTGTATAGGTTTGCGTGTGGACCCTTGGCATCCGCCGGTGAGCTGGAGCCCTCTGAAGGCTTGGAGTGCAAGTACAGTGGTCCCTCCTCATCCACCAGGATGTTTCAACTGCCAAACTCAAGACCATGAAAACGACCTTGTTTACGTCTGTTTTCTTCTAAGAGCTGCAGTTTCATAATTTCAGTGGTTGCATTTTGACCTCTGGCCATTTTGAGTTGGTTTTTTGGTGTGAGGCAGGGTTCGACTTCATTATTTAGCGTGTGGACGTCCAGTTGACCTGGCACTGTTCTTTCCCTGCCAAATGATCTGGGCAGCCTTGTCAAAAACTAATTGACCATAAAGATTTATTTATTTCAAAGGCAGGGTTTATAGAGAGAGGGAGAGGCAGAGAGAGGGAGAGATCTTCCATCTGCTGGTTCACTCCCCAATGGCTGCAACAGCCAGGGCTGGGCCAGGCTGAAGCCAGGAGCCAGAACCTTCATCCAGGTCTCCCACATGGATACAGGGGCCCAAGCACTTGGGCCACCCTCCACAGCTTTCCCAGACACATTAGCGGGAGCTGGATCAGAAATGGAGCAGCCAGGGCTGAACCTGTGCCCGTAGGAGATGCCGGTGCTCAGGCAGTGGCTTAACCCACTGCACCACACTTCCAGCCCTTTGTACTGTTTTGATACAGGGAACCTGAGTCCTGAGCGTAATCTTGTTTTGTCTTGACGATGGTTCTGGTTATTTGGGGTTCCTTGCAATTCCTTATGAATTTTAGGATCAGCTTTTCCATTTCTTTTATTTGAAAGCGAAGTTACAGAGAAGGAAAGGCAGGGGCAGAAGTGTTCCATCTGCTGGGTCACGTCTCAGATGGCCACAGTGGCCAGGGCTGGGCCAGGCCAGAGCTGAGAGCCAGGTCTTCCACATGCGTCAGGAGCCCAAGCACTTGGACCACCTTCAGCTGGTTTTCTAGGTGCATCCAGGACTCAAACCAGCACCCATACGGGTGCCAGCGCGGCAGGCGGCAGCTCGACCGACTGCGCCTCAACGCTGGCCTCAGCTTTTCCACTTCCACCAAAAAAAAAAAAAAAAAAAAAAAAAAGGCTGCTGTGATTTTGATGGGAATTGTGTTGATCTTTAGGCTGCTCTAGGGAGAATCATGTCTTTATGACATTGAATGTTCCATCTATGGACATGGGAGAGCTTCCCGCTGTATTTAGGTGTTGTGTGTTTTTTCCAGCAACATTTTTATATTTTTTGGTACACAAATATTTCACCTCTTTGGTTAAGATTATTCCTAGGTATTTTGTTCTTTCAAATACTATTATAATTTATTTCTTAATTTCCTTTTTTTTTTTTTTGAAGATTTGTTTATTTGAAAGAGTTACAGAGTTCACAGAGGAGAGACTGAGAGATAGTGAGAGAGAGAGAGAGAGAGAGAGAGAGAGAGAGAGATCTTGTAACCGTTGGTTCACTGCCCAAATGGCCATGATAGCCAGGGCTGGGCCAGGCTGAAGCCAGGGGGCCGGGAGCTCTACCCCAGTCTCACGTGGTGCAGGGGCCCCAGCACTTGGGCCATCTTCTGCCACTTTCCCAAGCATATTAACAAAGAGTTGGGTCAGAAGTGGAGCAACCAGGACTCAAACTGGCACCCATATGGGATGCCAGCATTGCAGGTGGAGGCCTAACTCACTACACCACGGCGCCAGCCCCAGCTTTCTACTTACTCTTTCTCAACGTGGATGCCTCTTGTGTCTTTCTCTTGCCCAGTCGCTCTCCGGAGCCTGCAGAAGTGAGAAAGTGGGCGCCCGTGTCTTTCCTGACCTTGAGGATGCTCAGCCCTGACAGACAGCAGCCAGAGCAGAGATTTGTTTGTGCGGTGCTGGGGCCCAGAGAGGGAATCCAGGGCCCCTTCAGACGCCTGCCCAGGGCCTGCGGCTCTTGGAGCCTGGGACTGGGTTCCGAGATCCTGAAGTGGCCTGGGAGGATGCAGCCTTGCTGGCCAAAGCGCCGTGCCCTGCCCCACACCAGGCTCTCTCCTGAGCCCTTGCCTTGCGCGGGGTGCTCTGGCCCCTCCACCACCGCAGTGCTTTTGTCCCCACAGAAGAAAAGCCGCAATGAGACGTACGGTGAAGGCAGCGGCGTGGAGATCCTGGAGAACCGGCCCTACACGGATGGCCCCGGCGGCTCTGGGCAGTACACGCACAAGGTGTACCACGTGGGCATGCACATCCCTGGCTGGTTCCGCTCCATCCTGCCCAAGGCGGCCCTGCGGGTGGTGGAGGAGTCCTGGAACGCTTACCCCTACACCAGAACCAGGTGCACCACTGCTGCCTTCCCCTGCCTCCGCCTTCCCACGTGGCGGGAAGCATCCTGTGTTACAGGTCCCAGGGCTTGCACCAGGCTCCACCCCTTACCCCTCCGAAGAACTCAGTGTCTGTCCTTCGCAGGCAGATGCCCTGAAGGTCCCCAGGGCGGGCACAGTCAGGAGAGGGCTCGCTCCTCATGGCCCCTGATCACTGGGGTGGAAGCCATGAAAGCATGAGTCTGGTGATGACCCTTGGCCACCTGGCAAGGCTAGAGAATGCAAACTCACTAGGTTCCTCAGGGCAGACCGGACGGTCAGCCTGCTGGGAGGAGCAGCCTGCAAGTAGCCTGGGTGGCCCGGAGGGCCCTGAGCTGCTGCCGCAGGGCTTGATCGGGCTCTCCTGACCGTGTGCACCCCGCCCCATGCGTAGCTCAGCACTGCAGGGTAGACAGATGGGAGCTGCTCCTGCCTGCTGCCTGCTTGCTGAGCAGGTGGGTGCCCCCACATCTCCTCGGGCTCCCCTCCTTCCCCATCCTTGGGACTTCACTGGAACTTGCCAGAGAACCCACAGAGAGCTCATCTGCAGCCCAGAGGGGGCTGTTGCCCATTGCCTCCTCCTTGGGGGGCTGCAGGGGACACATCCTGGGAGCGCTGGACCCACAGTCTGCCGGCTCAGCCTTACACAGCTGTGGCCGCACCTGTGTTCCCACCCACTGTACACACCCATGATGTACACCCAGTTGTGGGTGATGAAAGTTAGCAGCTCTCCACACCATCTCGGGGTCCTTCTGAACCCTCCCCCAGCCTGGCCTGGCTGTTCTTGGCCCGAGACCACAGTCCAGGGGGTCCTAGCCACCTCCCTGCCTCCCATTCCCACTGTGTCCTGCTTTGCTTCTGCCTTGGGGTCTGACGGCCTGGCCTGGCCTTCCTGTGCCCCCTCCACGCCAGGTCCTGACAGTGCTCTCCTCCCCCAGGTTCACCTGCCCTTTTGTGGAGAAATTCTCCATCGACATCGAGACCTTTTATAAAACCGATGCTGGAGAAAACCCCAACGTGTTCAGTCTCTCTCCCGTGGAAAAGAACCAGCTGACGATTGGTAATTCTGGGTTCCCACTCACAGGTCCCCCCACCCTGCCCCTTGGCCCCAGCCTGGCCTGTCCAACAAGCATGGGGGCCTCTTTGGCCCATGTCCCTGACATGCACATCAAGTCTAAGCACCTTGCCCACCCAGAGCCCCTTCCCTCCACCCCCCAGTGCTGGGGGCCATGTCAGGCTGGGGCCAGGCAGACACTGGGGCTGCCCCCTTTAGTGGTGGTCGAGCGTGCCCACTCCCCTCTGGCTGCCGGTGCCTTGCAGAAATGGGCCCCACTTGCTACATCATCATCAAGGAAGGCCAGAGACCCGAATTTTCATGTGAAATCTCCAATTCCTAAATGTTACCAACTAATCAGAAATCCTTGTAAGACTGTACCGTCTAACAACACATATCTGTGGGCCAAATGCAGCCCCTGGGTTCAAGGCCAAGTGCGTGTGGGGCATTTCAGGAGGGGCACGGCTGGCATCGGGACGGGGTGGGGGAAGCCAGTGCCCATGAGATACATCCCCCAGTGTCCCCACAGCTGCTCCCAGACTTCCCCGTCGTATAAGGGCACTGGTCACAATGGACTAGGCCCATCTTAATGGCCTCATTTTAACTCAGTTACCACATTATAGATACCCTGTCTCTGAATAGGGCCACACTCTGAAGGCACTGGGTTTAGGGCTCAGCATAGAAATCTAAGGGGAGCACAGTTGTCCCCATAGCAGGAGGGAAGGACCAGGCGAACCCTTGGCAGCTCCGTGCATCTGGTCCCCCCCCTGCCCAGAACCTGTGTCCCAGCTCTGTGCCATTCGCCCAGCCTCAGGCTGACACCTCTGCCTGGTTCCTTCAGATGTCTCTTCTGGCCTCTTCTTGACCCAGGAGGAGTTTTCCAAGGGGCCAGCTGAGACTCGTAGTTTGGGGCAATGTGTGGGTGTGTAGCTTGGCAAACAAGGGCTGCTTCCATAACAGTAGCCTCCCTCCCTCCCACACACTGACACCTGGAGCCCCAGCTGCCCCCAGAGCTGCCAGGACGCCTTCACCCTTGTGATCCTGGCTGAAAGGCCACTTGTCTGGGACGCTTCCCCACCCCACTCTCCATGGCTGCACCCCACCCCCCTCCTCAGCTCACCAGTGCAGTTGGAACATGGGCGTGGCTGAATGACTTAAAAGGCAGCAGATGGACGCAGGTCCTGAGCCCAGGTTGCTGCCGGAGCACCAGTGTCCCAGAGCCCTTGCAGGGACCTGGGATGGTGGAAGTGGAGAAGGGGCGGGCAGGGGCAGGGTCGAGGTCTGGCAGAAGTAACCACTTGTAGGACCCCCCCAACAGACTTCATCGACATCGTCAAGGACCCCGTGCCCCCAAACGAGTACAAGGTGGAGGAGGACCCTAAGCTGTTCCAGTCGGCCAAGACGCGCCGGGGGCCTCTGTCCGACAACTGGATCGAGGAGTACAAGAGGCAGGTCTTGCCCCTCATGTGCGCCTACAAGCTCTGCAAGGTGGAGTTCCGCTACTGGGGCATGCAGTCCAAGATCGAGAGGTTCATCCACGACACCGGTGAGCTCGCCCGCCCCGCCCAGGCCTCCGTCCCGCCTCCGCCCTGCTGGTCCGCCTGGGACTCTGCACTGGGTTTGATTCCCAAAAGGTGACCCCAAAGCCCGTGTGCATCTCGGCCCCGTGACTTTTTTCTGACCCATGAATGCCCCAGACAATCCTGGCCTGGCCTGCGGTTGAAGCAGGCAGCCCTTGGGGACAGCCTCTCTGCTGCTCGCCAGGGCCGCTGGCTTCAGAGCAGGTGCCCAGGGAGCAGATAGACCAAGGGACGGCCTGGGCGCCTGGCCCAAGCTGCTCCCCTCCCCTGGAACCCCCAGTCCCTGCCTACCTTGTCGCAGCATGGGGTCACAGCACCCGGGGTTGGTCCCACCCCGAGTCATCCCGAGAGAGGCCCTAGGGCAGACATCTGTGTCACCATGCAGGAGGGTGACTTCGTTTAGACCTGAGGAGAGACACTAGCGGTAGTGCACGTCACACTGTCAGCCTACTCACGGAGAAGGGAGCAGTTTGGGGAGAGATGGGATTAGGAGACAAGTATATTTGGGTGCAGAAATTTTCTGAAATCCACACGTGTGTTTCCACATTTTCCACGAACTCTGAAGCCCCCTGGCTACTCAGAGTGAGCCTCTGAGCCTCCATCTCCAAGGCAGTCTGCCGTCTGTCTCTGTCACTGCTGTATCCTTCATACTCTATCTGGTTTTCTGTGTGTGACATATTCTTGTAGATGTCATCTGTATAACATACTCTTCTTAAAGCATTAAAAAAAAAAAAAAAAAAAAAAAAAGAACCAACCCAGTTTGAACTTGATTTTCCAAGAGAAATTCCACAAAAATTGTAGACCAGAGACCGAAACAGAATACTCTTGGCAAATCCTATTGCACTACCTGCGGGGGGCAGGAGTCTCCCAAAATTAGTTGTGGCTCTGACCAGACACATTGCCTGGGAGGCCCCTTTGCCCTGACTATAGACCACTGGTGAGGCTGTCCTTGGGGAAACCGAGGTACCGACGAGCAGTGAGTGACTCAAGCCTGACCCTCAATGCTGATGCGGCTGCCCAGCCACAGGCTCCAGCCTGGGGGTCCCGATGCCGGCCCTGAAGCTGACTCCCTGCCCCGCCCCGACCCTGCAGGGCTCCGGAGGGTGATGGTGCGGGCCCACCGGCAAGCCTGGTGCTGGCAGGATGAGTGGTTCGGGCTGAGCATGGAGAACATCCGGGAGCTAGAGAAGGAGGCGCAGCTCATGCTGTCCCGCAAGATGGCCCAGTTCACCGAGGACAGTGAAGAGGCCGCAGAGCTCACCAAGGACCAAGCCGCCCAGGACCAGGTCTCCTGGGAGACCCCCGAGCCCAGCAGCAGCAATGGGGAGCCCCTGGTAGGGCGGGGCCTAAAGAAGCAGTGGTCCACATCCTCCAAGTCGTCACGGTCGTCCAAGCGGGGAGGTGAGCCCCCGGTGCCACCAGGCCCGCTTCAGGGTCCCTGCCCTCTGCTGGTCCCGCTCAGTCACACCACTGCTAGGCCATTCTACCCCGAAAAACGGCCTGCTTTCCCGTGGATACCGTGGCGCCAAGCACGCTGGGAGACAGAACTGTTCCCTTTCTAACTTGGTGCCAGGTGAGGTCTCGACCCTGCAGCCTGCCTGGGGGAGGCAGGTCAGGGTGGGTTCCCCTAGCCTGGGAGGGCCTCATCTCCCTATGGGAGGGGGCACCTTACAGGCTTCAGATCCTGAGAAAGAGAGCCAAGCCAGGGCCAGCAGCCAGGCCAGCTTTCCCAGCCAGCTGGGTGCCCTAGGACCTGTCTCCCTGCCTCCCTGGCCCTGCAGTGCTGTGCCTGCCCATCCACTCAGCCATGGCCGAGTTGAAGAGATTTCTCATGGTCAGGCCCAGGAGTGAACTCAGGACCAGCTTAGTGCACATCCCAGACTTAGGCCTGCTACCCCTCCTGCCCTGGCTTCTCCCGTGACCACACACCCCAGGTGGATGGGATGGGAGGGGGCCACTTCCAGAGACGCAGGAGCTCCCTCCACAGTGAGCCCTGGCAGCGCCTCCCCTCACGACTCCGCCTCATTCTCTTTGGAGCCTTCCTGGCTCCCAGAGCAGCTTCCGGCTGCCTGTCTCGGCCTGCGGGTTTTTGCCACACGTCCCTGCCTCCGGTGGCCAGGCACGGCACCAGCTCTTCCCTCCAGCCTCGGTGGTCAGCCTGGGGCTCTGTCTTCCAGCGAGTCCTTCTCATCACAGCATCTCGGAGTGGAGGATGCAGAGCATCGCCAGGGACTCGGACGAGAGCTCGGACGACGAGTTCTTCGACGCCCACGGTAGGTGGCCGACCCCCGAGTCCTGGGCAGAGGGGGATGTGGGTTGAGGTGGGATTCGCCTGCTGCCCGCTGTTCCTGCTTCCTGTACCTGTACGGTTCCCCGGGGACAGTGTGGTGTCGGGGTGGGGGGCCCAAAGGAAGAGACAAATCACCTGGAGGCAGCCTCAGGCCCACCTACCCAGATGTCAGAACGTGCTGTGGGCCTGGCAGGTGGGGGCTGGCGCTTGAAATCCCTAAGAAAAAGACACAGCTCAGGACTATGTTCCGTACTGTGAGTGTATTTCCATAAATTTCTAACTAAAAAAAAAGTTAGGAAAAAACTTTCTTTTAAAAAGATTTATTTATTTAAAAGGCAGAGAGTTGCAGAGAGAGACAGGGAGAGAGAAAGAGAGATCTTCCGTCCACTGGTTCACTCTCCAAGTAGTCTCAGCAGCCATGGCTGGGCCTGGCCCAAGCCAGGAGCCGGGGACTCCATCTGGGCCTCCCACGTGGGTGGCAGGGCCCAGTCACTCAGGCCATCTTCCGATGCTTTCCCAGGTACATTAGCAGTGAGCTGGATCAGAAGTGGAGCAGCCGGGACTCAAACCAGTATTCACATGGCATGCTGGCGTTCGCAGGCGGCAGCTTAACCCTCTGCATGCTGGCCCTCTAATATTTTTTATTGATTAAATTATCGTGCATCTATGTAGCTGCTTCTGAAAATGCAATAAACAGAAAAATTATAGGAGCTTCCACTTCCCTCCCGCCAGCCCCCAGTCAAGTCGCAGGATCACACGGCGTGGTGGGTTGCACTGTGAACAGCACACTCGCACGTTGGAGGGCTAGCAGGCGAGCCTGGGGAAACGGTCCCTCTGTGGACTGGTGGCTGAGCCAGCCCCAGGTCACCCACCAGGACCCAGAAAAGGACAGGGAAGCGGGTGTTTACCCTGGGGGTTAGGACGCTCGTGTCCCACATCATAGTACCCAGGTTCGGTTTTTGGCTCTGACATCTGACTCCAGCCTCCTGCTAGTGCACACCCTTGAAGGCAGCAGTGAGTAATGGCTCCTGCCACTCCTGTGAGAGACCTGTAATGTGTTCCCAGCTCCTGCTGGGACATCGTGGGCATTTAGGGGAGTGAACCAGTGGATGCAAGCTCTCATTTTCTGTGTGTCTGTGCCGCTCAATAAATATACAAATAATTTTTAAAAGATAAAGGAATGAGGACTCGTGGGGGGTTTGGGGGGGGACTGGCCCAGAGCCCTCTTGTGCCACTCCCTGCATGGCTTGGGGACTGAGGAGCCACACACAGCTGGCATGTTAGCTCACTGGCCGGCTGGCATGTTAGCTCACTGGCCAGCTGGCATGTTAGCTCACTGGCCAGGCTGGCCCTAATGGGAAGGGACTTGGGGAGTCTGGGTCCAGCCAGAAGGAAGGTGCCTGTTTTGACCCTGGGCCCAGAGCCGCTGGAATGGGCGCAGGCATTTCCTGAGCCCACCTCCACTCCGGGGGCCTTGCTGAGGGTGCTGCCCCACCCCGCCCAGCTGCTCTGTGTTCCTGACAAGAGGAAAACAGACATTCACGTAGAGGAAGCTGTTAGAGGAGACAGCAAAGCTGGAGGTGCCAGAGCAGCAGTGAGCTGGGAAAAGTGGCCAGGGGCTGGTCCCCGGCAGGAGGAGGGCCGGCCCGTGCCTGCGCTGGACAGCTGCCCCGGCCCTGGGGTTCTGGCTGGAAGTTCCAGAAGAGCAGAACGAGTCCTGCTGCAGCGTTTCTCACTAGGCTGCACGTCCGTGGACATCACGGGGGCAGCCTCTGACCTCTTAGTTAAGACACCAGTTCTCAGAGCCCCTGCGCTCACGTCCCGGCTCTGGCTTCTGCTGATGCCGACACTGGGAGGCAGCAGTGCCGGCTCAAGTAGCTGAGTCCTGCCACACACAGGGCAAACCTGCGCTGAGTTCTGAGCTCCCAGCTTTGGCCCAGCCCAGGCATTGCAGGCATCTGGGAAATAAACCAGCAGAGAGCTCTGTTTTAAAAAAAAAAAAAAAATCAGGATCATCAGCCACCGAGTGAAGTAATCTGTGCAGAAGTAATCTGTCCTCACAACACAGCATGGTTCAGCCATGAAAAGGAACACAGCCCTGGCTCGTGCCCACGTCATGTGATCCCACCCACAGCCCACGCCCCACAGGCTCCTCAGGTTCCATGGTGCCCCCAACAACAGATAGAAAATATTTGGGGGGAAAATTGTGTTTGTGTGAAACATGTACAGACTTTTTTCTTGTCATTAGTCCCCAAACAATACAGCATAGTAAGTGGTTAAGATGCCACTTGGGGCCAGTGCCGCAGCCCACTAGGCTAATCCTCTGCCTACAGCGCTGGCATCCCAGGTTCTAGTCCCGGTCGGGGCTCCGGATTCTGTCCCGGTTGCCCCTCTTCCAGGCCAGCTCTCTGCTGTGGCCAGGGAGTGCAGTGGAGGATGGCCCAGGTTCATGGGCCCTGCACCCCATGGGAGACCAGGAGAAGCACCTGGCTCCTGGCTACGGATCAGCACAGTGCGCCGGCCGCAGCAGCCATTAGGGGGTGAACCAATGGCAAAGGAAGACCTTTCTCTCTGTCTCTCTCTCTCACTGTCCACTCTGCCTGTCAAAAAAATATTTAAAAAAAAAAAATGCCACTTGGGATCCCATATCAGAGCGCCTGGGCCCAAGGCCACCCCTGATTTCAGCTTCCAGCTGATGCAGCAGTGACGGCCCAAGTCCCTGGGTCCCTGTCACCCACGTGGGAAACCTGGGTTGAGTTCCCAGCTCTTAGCTTCCACCTGGCCAAGTCCTGGCTATTGCAGGCATTTGAGGAGTAAACCAGTGCATGGAAGATATCTCTGTCTCTGTCTCTCCCTCCCTCCCCCAAAATAGTTGTTTTAAAACCAACACAGTTGAGCCGGCGCCGTGGCTCAATAGGCTAATCCTCCACCTTGCGGCGCCGGCACACCGGGTTCTAGTCCCGGTTGGGGCGCCGGATTCTGTCCCGGTTGCCCCTCTTCCAGGCCAGCTCTCTGCTATGGCCAGGGAGTGCAGTGGAGGATGGCCCAGGTGCTTGGGCCCTGCACCCCATGGGAGACCAGGAAAAGCACCTGGATCCTGGCTCCTGCCATCGGATCAGCGCGGTGCGCCGGCTGCAGTGGCGGCCATTGGAGGGTGAACCAACGGCAAAAGGAAGACCTTTCTCTCTCTGTCTCTCTCTCTCACTGTCCACTCTGCCTGTCAAAAATTAAAAAAAAAAAAAAAAAACACAGTATAACAGTTATTTATGTATTGTTTAAATTGTAGTAAGTATGCAAGAGAAGGAGATAACTCAGTGTGTGCAGGAGGGTGTGCGGACGCCTTGTATAGCAGGGTCTGGGTAGTCAGGGGGTTCCTGGAACCCGCCCCTGCAGGTGCTGGCCCTGCGGTGTCTGGAAGAGGTGAACGCCCTGCGGACAGTGGTTGATGCCTGGTAGCCCGGGCTGGGGAGAGACAAGAAGGAGGACTTGGCTGTGGTGGTTGGGGCTTCCACCCGGGATGAAAGCACTCTGGGAGGTTGCACAACCTTCGGGACGCACTAAATGCCACGTTAGTGGTTGGAATGGTGAAGTCCCTGTTAGGGAAGGGGGAGAGCAGAGCCCAGCACGGAGGGGCACAGGGGCATCCAGGGGGACCCTAGTCCCTGCTGAAGCCCCCTCTCTCCTCCCTAGAGGACCTTTCTGACTCCGAGGAAATGTTCCCCAAGGATATCACCAAGTGGAGTTCCAATGACCTCATGGACAAAATCGAGAGCCCGGAGCCGGAGGACAACCAGGGTAACTGGCCCTGGGAGCTGCAAGGCCACACCGCCTCCCTTCCGACCCTGGGGAGGGGGACCCTGGGCCTAAGCTCCCCTCACTGGTTACAGCCTCAGCCCAGCTGGCTCCAGGCCGCCCGGCTGCAGCCACAGCTCACAGCAGGACTTCTGCATTGCAGATGGTCTATACCGCCAGAGTGGCCCTGAGTTCAGGGTGGCCTCCAGTGTGGAACAGCTGAACATCATCGAGGTGGGTGCCTGGCTGCCCGAGGTCCCCACAGCTGCCGGGAGAGGGGGCAGGGGGCGGAAGGCAGAAGAATGGTCCCTGGGGGCTACAGAGGCAGAACTTGGAACCTGTACCCCCACACCCACGCCTGGCCAGGATGCTGCCCGGAGAGGCCTGTGGCACCTGCCAACACCCGCCCCCATGTCCCTTGGGAGCAGGGACCCCAAACAGTCCCCAAGGAAGACCCTGACTGAGCCCAGCCCATGGGAGAGTAAGATGAGATACTTGTAAATTCCAGATCAAAAATAAGATCTTCACCCTGTGCTCAGCCTGTCTGCTGGCCCTGAAGAGAAACCCACGGAAGGGGAGGAAGCGAAGGTCGTCTTAGGCAGAACTGGTGTAGCCCTGGCGGGAGGTGGGGCGGGCAGGGCTCACCGTGTCCAATAAAGCTGTCTCGGTAGCGCCTGTGTCCGCTTCAGGGGTTCTTTGCCGGAGCTCACACCCCCTCCTCCTCCACCCGTGGGCAGGGGTCAGAGCTGTTTGCGCCCGGGCAGGGGCCGGGGCTGGGCTGTCCCGTGCTCCATTCACCAGGCTCTGGCCACAGGCTGCCTGAGGCGGGGTCCTGGGACCTCCCGGGGGAACCTGGGGGAAGAGGAGTTTCCGTGCTGCCTCAGCCCTCCTGGGGTTTTGCTTGAAGGCCTGTTAAAGTAGGCTTTTCGAGAAGGGTTACCAGGTGTTGGTTTCCAGTTGCACTTGCCAGCCAGGCACAGCTAACAGAGCCCCTGCCCCTCCTGCAGTGCACACAGCTCTGACAGCCCCCGGGGAGGGGCAGACAGGGCCTGGGGCTCGGGGTCGGGCTCGGGCTCGGGATCCCTTTGTGTGCGACAGCCCTGGAAGCGGAGCCCCCAGCCCGGCTTTGTAGAAGGGGGTGGCCTTGCAGACAGACAGGAAGAGGTGGCCTGGCGCTCTCCGTTCCCGCTGGGGTTCTGGGGGCTTGAGGAAAGCTGTATTTGGGGCTGTAGGGGCTACTGACAGCTGCCAGGGCTGCGGGCACTTCTCTTCCACGAGCCCATCGCCTCACTGGGTCAGAGCAGCCCCCGCCCACCTAGCCCAGGGGGGCATCTGGCTCTTCCAGCCTGGCTTGGCTCTGCCGTGCCCTGGGCTGTGAGTTCATTCCCACCCAGGCCAGCCAGCAGTGGGCAGGCCCCGTAAGGAGCCAGGGGTGGTTCCACCAGAAGCCCTGTGACCCAGCCCCTCCTGGGATGGAGGCTGCCCATCCTCCCCTCCGTCCCATGCCCCACGTTCCCCCAGGTTCCTCCCTCTCTCACCCACCCCAAGCCTTCTGTGGCTCTGGCCCTTTCTCTGCACTTCCTGGTGACCGCATCAGCCCCGGGGCCCTGTACCTGCCCTGCCCGCCTTTCCCAGCTCTGAGTGAGCTCCTGGATCTTGCTGCTGACCCCACCTCCTACTATTTGGTGACCACGTCAAGGCCAGCTGTCCCTGCTACAGGCCCTGTGGACGGCCTCAGCTGCTTTGTCTCCCCAGTGGGAGTCCACTGCAGTCCAGTGGCTCCTTTCAGGCCCTGCCCCGCCCCCAGCTCATTGCACACCCAATGCACAGGGCCAGGGAGGAGAGGGGAGGTCCTGGGCTCGGGCCACAGCTCTGGCTGGCAGGACGTGTGCTGAGCTGAGGAGCTCTGGGTGCTGGTCAGGCTTGACCTCAGTGCAACCTGGTGATCCTCGAGCAGTCCTGGGTCTCCGCGCCACCTCTTCATTTAAAGAAATAGTTACGTTCCCCAGGCACCGGTTGGAAGTCCAGGCTCTTACTCTGATCCCTCAAGCAGGCCTGGCCAGTAAGAAGGTGGGGTTATGACCCTATAATCAGGTGGACAGACCCATGCTGCCGTCCCTGCTCTGAGGTGCTAGGGTCCCGCCTCTGCCAGGACGTCTCTGCTTTTGGGGACCTTGGTGTTGGGGGCCAGGGGAGGAGACCACATGCAACGGAGAGAGAGCTTGCTACAGGCAGAGTGGCCGGGTCACTGCCCACCGAGCTGTGGTTGCTCCGACCACTCGGGCGTGCCGGTCTCAGAGCCACAGCCAGGCTGAGCCTCTGCTTCCTCTCCAAGCCAGAAGCCCCGGGAGCCGCTGCCCGGCTTCCTCCAGGAGGTGGAGTTCGGCTTTGGAGGAGCAGACTCCCCCAGCCATGCCCTTTGTGCCCCTGGGAAGGGGGAGCCCCACCCTGGCTTGCCCGGCTCCTCTTCCAGGCTCCCATCCCCACGAGGGTCCTAGGGAAGGAGTGGGAGCAGCTGGACCCCAGGCCCACAACTGAGGAGCAGACATCAGGGCTGTCCGATGTCTGGGCCAAGGCAGAGCGCACAGTGCCCTGGGAGTTGACGTGCGCCCCCACCCCTGCAGGATGAAGTCAGCCAGCCGCTGGCCACGCCACCCTCCAAGATCCACGTGCTGCTGCTGGTGCTGCACGGGGGCACCATCCTGGACACGGGCGCCGGGGACCCCAGCTCCAAGCAGGGCGACGCCAACACCATCGCCACCGTGTTCGACACGGTCATGCGCGTGCACTACCCCAGCGCCCTGGGCCACCTGGCCATCCGCCTGGTGCCCTGCCCACCTGTCTGCTCGGACGCCTTCGCCCTCGTCTCCAAGTGAGTGCTGTTTGTTCACTGGCGCCCGCCTTTGCCCTGAGCAGCCAGTGGGTTTCCATCCAGTGTCGGGACCCCTCCCCCAATATCCAGACCTGCCACCTGGCCCCCTCTGCCCGGAGGCAGCAAAACCCAAGTGGGCAGCTGAGCCTCAGATTCCGAGTCCGTAACGCGGCGATGCTGACCTGCCTCTGAGATGCAGGCCTCCCTGGAAGGGCCTGTTCTGAGAGCCTGCCCCGGGCCTGGCCTGAGTCTCCAGCCGAGATCTGGGGACAGGCGGCTCTGTGTGCCCTGCTGCCCAGACCAGGGAGGGAGCCCTTTGGGCTGAGCCAAGGTCATCCACGCTCTCCTGACTGGACCTTCACCCCCAGTCTCAGCCCCTACAGCCACGACGAGGGCTGTCTGTCCAGCAGCCAGGACCACATCCCCCTGGCCGCCCTGCCCCTGCTGGCCACTTCCTCACCCCAGTACCAGGAGGCGGTTGCCACAGTGATTCAGCGGGCTAACCTGGCCTACGGGGACTTCATCAAGTCCCAGGAGGGTGTGACCTTCAATGGGCAAGTGAGTTGTGGAATGGGGGAGGGGAAGGTCGTGGGGGGGCGGGGGCTGACCTGAGGCCCAGGGGCCAGCCCGGCCCTGCTCATGCCCCGCCAGTAGGACAGACGCTCGGATCTCTGGGCCTTCCCTACTTGTAGGTCTGCCTGATTGGGGACTGCGTTGGGGGTGTCCTGGCATTCGATGCCTTATGCTACAGCAACCAGCCGGTGTCTGAGAGCCAGAGCAGCAGCCGCCGGGGCAGCGTGGCCAGCGTGCAGGTACCCAGGCCCTCCTTTGACCCCAGACCTCCACCGAGGCCTGCAGTCTCCCGTATACCACACAGAGCAGCTGCCCCATGTGCTGTGCGGGCATCGGACCATCACTCCACCCCCTGCTCTGCCTGACCACGGTGCCCAACAGAGACCCTGCGGCGAGCTGACCTGGACACTGCCCAGCTGAGCTCCGCTTGCTCATCGACGCTGTCTGCGTCCCAGCCTCTCCCCGAGTAGCTCCTGTCTAGGACAGGAGAGGTTCAAGGGGAAGGGGCATAGGGGAGTGGAGGGTGGCTGGCTCATGTGGTTGAGGACACTGTAGGGGTGTCCCCCAGGCCTGAGGCAACTGCATGAGTTTCTCAGAATCCCTTCCCCCACCCCCTAAATAAAGACAGGAAGGGCAGAGGTTGTATGGGGGCAGGTGACCAACAGTAGCCCGGCCGAGCTCAGGAGTGCAGACAGCTTCCTGCGCTGTGAACCAGGGTCAGCACCAGAGAGGCTCCAGTCCTGAGAGGCAGGACCAGAGGACCCTGCCCACTTCCCAGCAGGGAGGGAAGGCCCTGAGTCCTTGCGCTGCCCAGTGCCCTTTGGTGGCCAGTCAGGCCAGGAGTGAGGGCTGATAGGACTGGCCAGTGGGCTGGAGTCAGCAGGGGACAAGGGCTTCCCCTCTGGCTTGGGTGCACCAGCTGGGCCTGGAGTCAGAAAGGAGGCAGCTTCCAGGACACTCGGGAAGGGGCCAGGCCCGTGGCCACCTGGCAGTGAGCCTCCGTGGGGCTGTTCCAGGACGCGGACCTGCTGTCCCCGGCTGGCCTGGTGAGCACGGCGCACTGCTCCGGCAGCGGTGGCGGCGGCGGCGGCGGCGGCGGCGGCTCCAGCCTGGAGAGCAGTCGACACCTGAGCCGCAGCAACATCGACATCCCTCGCAGCAACGGCACTGAGGACCCCAAGAAACAGCTGCCCCGCAAGAGGAGCGACTCGTCCACCTATGAGCTGGACACCATCCAGCAGCACCAGGCCTTCCTGTCCAGGTGGGCAGGGCTGGCAGGCCTGGGGGCACCGACCCCGGGGCCCACTCCAGGGGCGGAAGGAGACCCCAGAGGGCAGACGGCTCAGAGCCAAGGAAGTCAGGGGGCTCCTTCACTCCCCACAGGCCAGCTGCCCACGTGAGGACCGGGCCAGGAGATGGCTTTCGGGGGCCATTGTCTCATACGTACCAATGGTCATCTTGAGCCAGGTTGTCCTGTGGGTGGGGTGGGTTGTAGCGGAGTTGCGGGGGGGGACTGACCCGGGGCAGCATAGCCTGGGTCAGGGCTGTCCCAAGGCAGTAGGCATCCTAGAGAGATTGGGACCCATTGTCCCCGAAAGTGTCCTGGCAGGTGCTGGGCAGCTGCCCCGGGCCCAGCCCCTCCTTCCTGAGGCTGGGGAAAGGCCGACCCCAAGGAGGCTGCTGGTGTGACCTTGGGCGTCCCCATTGCAGCCTCCACGCCAGCGTGCTGAGGAGCGAGCCCAGTGCCCGCCGCTCAAGCAGCTCCACCATGCTGGACAGCACGGGGACCCTGGGCAAGTTCGACTTTGAGATCGCTGACCTCTTCCTCTTCGGGTGCCCGCTGGGGCTGGTCCTGGCCTTGAGGAAGACAGTCATCCCTGCCCTGGACGGTAAGAGCCCTGTGGCATACCTGAGCTGGGCAGGGGCATCTCAGTAGATCCCTGTTGCGGAGCTGTGGTCACACCCCAGGCCTTCCAGAGCTGGCTTCCTGGCTTCTCTCCTCTGCTCCTGGCCCGGCAGCTCAGTCCCTGACACCTGTCACTTCATCTCCTGGGAGCAGAGGGTCCTTCCATAGACAGGACGCTGGGGTCCGGAGGTCACATGGGCACAGACCCAGTTTCCCAGGCCCGAGTCCTTCCCCTGGGTGAGATGTGTGTGCACAGAGCCCCAAAGCCTCCTGGGTACAATGAGGGGCCAACACCCAGCTGCTCACAGCCTGCATGGAAGGGAGGTGGTTCTGTGGGCTGGGCCCCACCAGAGCCCATCAGGGTGGGCATTCCTGCCCTGCACCTCTGGGGTCCCCACGATCCTCACAGGACTCTGGTTAGAGAGGAGGAACTGAGACCTGGAGAGACTTAGACGCTCGCCGAGAGCGGGTGAGTGGTGGCCCCAGACTAGGACCCCGTGCCCTTGCCCCTCCACACCTGGAGGCGCGGCACCGTCCAGAAGGGGGAGCTGTGGCTCTCCCCAGCGGCCAGGCAAGCTCACACCCGGTGCAAAGGGGAGCAGCCCCCAGGGGCAGTGTGGCATTTGCTGCTACCAAGACGGTCGGACGGTCCTGCTTCCTGACAACCCCTGAACAACCCGCAGAGATTCCCACCCAGGGGCACCGGCACTGAAGTGCATTGAGATCATGGACGTCCAGGACCAACTTCAACACCGTCCCCAGGGGAAGGCCGGTTAAAAGACAGTCTCTTGCAGACAAACAGTGGAAGGCCCCAAACTCCACGCATCCTCTGTTAAGGGGGAAAACAAAGGGTGCTGCGCCCTGTGGAGGAGGGCCTGCATGCAGTGCCCGGCTCCACGTTTTTTTTTTAAAGATGTCTTCATTTGTTTAAAAGGCAGAGTTGGGGGGGGGGGGTTGAGAGAGAGAGAAATGGAGATGGTAAATCTGCCCATTCACTCCTCAGGGGTCACAATGGCTGGGGCTGGTCCAGGCGAAAGCCGGGCACCCAGAATCCCATCCAGGTCTCCCATGTGTGTGGCAGCGACCCAAGCAGTTGGGCCAAGCACAGCTGCTTTCCCAGGCACATCGGCAGGGAGCTGGATAGGAAGTGGAGCAGCTGGGATTTGAACCGGCACTCCCATGGGATGCCAGCATCCCAGGTGGCAGCTTAACCTGCTGTAGCACAACACCAGCCCCCTGCAGCACCCGTGACTCCAGCTTCCTGCGAATGTGCACCCTGGCAGGCAGTGAGTGGCGACGCAAGTGCTTGGGTCCCTGCCACCTGGGTGGACTCGCCAGCTCCTGGCTTTGGCCCAGCCCAGCCTTGGTTGTTGGGGACATTCGAGAAGCACAGCAGAAGATGGGAGCGCTTATTCTCCCTCTGTCTCTGTCTCTGTCTCTCTCTCAAGTATAAATAAATGGGTAAATAAAAATGAGGCGTAATGAAGTGCAGAATGGGAAGTGCGTTCCCAACGCTCTGGCATCCATATGATTCCCTAACTCCATGATGCTGTGTGAACAGCAGTCCCATTTTACAGACGGGAAGACTGCCCCCAAGCCAGGAGCAGTTACCAGCACAGGTGTGGGCGGCGCCCACAAGATGCGCAGAGCAACAGTGGAGGGAGGGGATCGCAGGACTCCGGGCTGGAAGGGGGCTTCCCAGGAGGCGCCTTAAAGCACTTCCTTTACAGTAGAATATTACGACTCCTTAAAAGGAACGCCCTGCTTGTTACAGAGACAATGACCCAAACAGACCCCTGGCCGCCCCCTCAGGGCCGAGCTCTGAGCTGGCGACCCCTCCCCGCCCAGTCTTCCAGCTGCGGCCAGCCTGCCAGCAGGTCTACAACCTCTTCCACCCTGCGGACCCGTCAGCCTCCCGGCTGGAGCCGCTGCTGGAGCGCCGGTTCCACGCCCTGCCACCCTTCAGCATCCCCCGCTACCAGCGCTACCCGCTGGGGGACGGCTGCTCCACGCTGCTGGGTAAACGGACTGCGGACCCCTGGCCCCGGCTCCCCGGGGGGAGGGGGAGCTGAGGCCACCCCTCCATTCTGCAGGCCAGAGGTGGCCCCAGCGGTGTGGCCCAAGCCCTGGCTCTTCCCTAAGTGGGCGGGACACGGGGCATGGGTGCGGGTGCGTCATCGTGTTCCCGCCTTTCAGAGAGCACAGGGCAGGCCCTCACCCCGGGCGCCTGGGTTTATGGGAGAACAGGACCACACTAGCCCCCTTCCCCACAACTGCCCCAGCCTCCATCCAGCAGAAACAGAGCTAAGACGCCCAGGAGGGACCCTCTCTGAATGGGGGCCCGCTGTGGCAGGCGCTGGCCCAGCGATGGGCACGCAGCAGAGTCCGTGAAGCCAGCGGGTCCGGGCTGGAGCGTGGGCGAGGGCCTCCCTGCAGCCACCCCACCCCGCGTGTGTGTGTCCTGGTCCTCGAGGAGCCCGCGTCCATGTCGTACCTGTGAGACAGCCCACAGGAGTGTCTGTTCTTGTCCTCTGTTCTCTCCCGCCTGCCTCTAGTCGACACCGTGCAGAGAAACCCCGAGCTGGTCCTGGAGGGCGGCCCCCTGCCCCCTCTCCCCCATGGGGATGGCTTCCTGGAAACCAGTATCCCTGTTCCCGCGCTCACCTGGCAAGACGGGCCCCGCCAGAGCCCGGGCTGTGCTGAGTGTGTGTAACCCCCACTCGTGTGACAACTGCTTTGTTGGCTCAGGGACCCCCCCCGTACACACACGCCCGCCTTGGCCACTGGAGCTGGGGGGACCTTGGTGGTGAGGACGGTGACCTAGGCAGGCAGGTCCCAAGGAGTTGGCCTTGGTGCCACTGGGGCCCCAAAGAGACGGTTGGCACAGCACCCTAGGGACGGGCCACGCAGTGTCAGTGACGGGGGCCCTCCTCCGCGGTGAGGCTGGCGGGGCAGACAAGAAGCAGGGTAAGCCGTGAGCCAGCCTGGTCCCACCCTGCACCTGGTCATGCTGCTTCCCTCCCCGAGGACCACCAGACCCTGCAGCACCCCGTCCAGATGTGGCTGCTCCAGCCCCAGCCACCCTCCCAGGACAAGCTCTGTCCTGCCCTCATTCTGGCCTGAAGAGGCCGGCTGGAGCTCTTGGCGCCTACTGGGACCACCCCACGTGGCGTGTGAGTGAGGGGCCCCTGGGGCTGCCTCAGGCCCCTGTGGTCAGCACCCTCAAACTCAGGATGGGGCCAGCACTGCTGCCCTGGGCTGTGGTCGTGAGACCCTGGTGCAAGTGGGGCTGCCAGGGCTTAGCTGAAGAGCTGAGTGTAGAAGACGGTGGCCAGGGTTTGGGAGCCCGGTGCCTCGCCTCCGTGCCCTTTGTCTGTGCCCGTCTGTCCGTCCTCCCCTCCCCCGCCTCAGCTCTCAGTCTTGTGCTCCCGTGGCCCTGGCACAGCCCCTCCCAGTCTAGGTGCACGCTGGCCTCCCCCCCACCCCCCACCCCCACTGCTGGAGGCTGGGCTGGGCTGGGCCTGACTCACCTTGGCCTTGGTCCCTGTCCACTGCAGCGGATGCACTCCAGGCCCACAACACAGTCTTCCAAGAGCACGTGGCCCCCTCCTCGCCCGGCACAGCCCCTGCAGGTCGTGGCTTCCGGCGGGCCAGCGAGATCAGCATTGCCAGCCAGGTGTCGGGCATGGCCGAGAGCTACACAGCGTCCAGCATCGCCCAGAGTGAGTGCAGTGCCCTCCTCGGCCCCTGCGCTCCTGCCGCGGTCTCAGCAGGACAGGCGGCCGCGTCTAGAGAGCGCGGCCATGCTGGGGCGGGCTGCTCCTGGCATCCAGTGAGTAGAGAACTACGTCAGTGTTCACGGCGCCCAGGCTCCAGGAGCCGGCCTGGCCCCTCGTGCTGCTTGGTCCGCCCCACTCAGAAGCCTCCAGCAGCAGAGGCAGAGCCCAGGGCCGGCCCTCAGTCCCCCTGTGCTGGGGCACGCAGCTGCGGTCCTAGGGCCCTGCCAGAGCCTGACAGCTGTGTCCTTCCCCTTGGAGAGGCCCCCAGCAGAGCAGGTGGGACAGCTTGGTGACCCTCAGTGTGGCTGAGCCATCCCTACTTGTTCTTGCTTCCCAGAGGCCCCTGTGTCGCTCAGCCACACCCCCAGCATCAGGCGCCTGTCCCTGCTCGCCCTGCCCCCTCCACCCCCCACCCCTCCTAGGCCCCGTCCTCGGGCCAGGTGGGCCAGCCCCAGCCTGGAGAGGGCCCCTAGCCTCCCTGAGTTGGACATCAGAGAAGGTACCAGCCTCCACTCGCACGCCCCCCCCCCTCACTTGGGTCACTCACTGCTGCCAAGCACGCCTCACCGTGTCCCCGCCAGTCCCTGCCACTCAAACCCCCACTGACCAGCGGGGAGCTGGAGACTTGGGCTGGGGACTGGACACCAGGGAGGACGGGGGAGTGCTTGCGGTTGGCTGGGGACCAGGACCACTGCAGAACTGGAATGAGGCAGTGCGAGGACCAACGAGGTTCCAGGGGTCCCCAACACCCGGGCTACAGGCAGAAGCTGGGGAGCCAGGACCAGTGAGATGTGCGGCACTTGCTGGCACCTGCTGAGTGTGGTCACCAGGCAGGGCACTCCACAGCCTTGTCTGGTGTTGGGGTCACCTGGCCCTGAGTACAGAGGCGGGACTAATGGCCAGCACCAGCCCCCCAACCCCAGCCCTGAGCGTCATCACCCACCCTGCTACATCCAGGGCTTGTGGGGGCGGCCCACGTGCTGGGGAGGGCCCTGGGCCGTGCCTGGAGGTTCAGACAGGTGGGACAGGGGAGACCCAGGGAGAGCTGTGGCAGGACAGGAGCAGCTCCTGCCCCCGGACCCCGCACGTCGCTCCCTTGCCTCACACTCCTTGGTGGCCTCAGCCCACACCTCTGCTCCCCTCTGCCACCTGCCTGGGAGAAGCTTCGCTTTGGCTGCCGCTGGAGGGAGGGGCCTCGGGTGGAGCCGGCCTGAGAGGCCAGGTGACCCTCGGCCGGGGGCCTGCCAGGGGCTGCCCAGCACAGTCACAGCCCCCCCTCCTGGCAGTCGCTGCAAAGTGGTGGGGCCAGAAGCGGATCGACTACGCCCTGTACTGCCCCGACGCCCTCACGGCCTTCCCCACGGTGGCCCTGCCCCACCTCTTCCACGCCAGCTACTGGGAGTCGACAGACGTGGTCTCCTTCCTGCTGAGACAGGTACCGGGGTCCTGCTGCCCAGGCCCCCTGAGCCTCACCAGACGGCCCTGAGTGACAGCGCCGGTGTCTCGGCCTCGTCCCATGGATGAGGGGGCGGTGGAGGGCCCACCTCATAGTGAGCCTGACGGGGGAGTCCTTGTGCTGGAATGAGTTCAGACTGGGGTATTGGGGTGGGGGGCTTGCGTGGTGCTCCCCAGGACCCACAGGTTCCTGCTACCAGCTCCTAGGGCCGTGGGGCCCTTTGTGCCTGCCCCCCAGCCTCTGCCTCTCCCCAGGTCATGAGGCACGACAACTCCAGTGTCTTGGAGCTGGATGGCAAGGAGGTGTCCGTCTTCACCCCCTCAAAGCCCAGAGAGAAGTGGCAGCGCAGGAGGACCCACGTGAAGCTGCGGGTGAGGGTCCTCCGTGGCCAGGCACCACTGCCGCTGTCCTGTGTGCTCTAGTCTTCTCTCTCTGAAAGGCAAAGTAAGAGAGAGAGCCTTCATCCGCCGTTCACTCCCCAAGTGGCCACAGTGGTTGGGGCCAGGAGCCAGGAACTCCATCCTGGTCTCCCACATGGGTGGCAGGGGCCCACGTACTTGGGCCACTCGCACAGAGCAGGATCGGGAGTGGACAGCTAGGACTTGAACCAGCACTCTGATATGGGATGCCGGCGTCACAAGCAGTGGCTTAACTGACTGCCACAAAGCCATGCTGTCCCGTTTAACCTGCACAGGAACCCCCACCTCACCCCAGTTACAGCTTTGGAACCCTGAGTCCAGGGACGCAGGCTGGCTGTGGCCCCCGCACGGACCTTGAGGGTGATGCTGTTGGCCTATCTTGCAGACAGGAAAGCATAGCAAAGCTTCGTCACTTCTCGCGTGGCTGGCACTGCCTGGGTCTGGGCCCGCCTCTCCCTTCAGGCCCACCGGAGCTTGAGCTAAGCCCGGAGGCCCCAGCTGCCTCCCAGCCCAGCCCTCACCCAACCGTCCCCCTCCCCTCCCCAGAACGTGGCAGCCAACCACCGGATCAACGACGCCGTCGCCAACGAGGACGGCCCGCAGGTGGTGACCGGCCGGTTCATGTATGGGCCCCTGGACATGGTCACCCTGACGGGGGAGAAGGTAGGAGCATAGGGCCCCAGGGAGCCCCTGCCTCCCTCTGGCTGGGGCACAGCCCATGACCGGCCTGCCCGGGGCCCCCAGGTGGACGTGCACATCATGACGCAGCCACCGTCGGGCGAGTGGCTGTACCTGGACACGCTGGTGACCAACAGCAGCGGGCGTGTCTCCTACACTATCCCCGAGACGCACCGCCTGGGAGTGGGCGTCTACCCCATCAAGATGGTGGTCAGGTAGGCGCCTCGCCGGGCCACAGGGCTGGGCTCCCTGGGCAGGAGGAGGAGGAGCTGTGGTTGGTTCTGACTAACAGGCCCCTGCTGGCCAGGGGGGACCACACCTTTGCCGACAGCTACATCACCGTGCTGCCCAAGGGCACGGAGTTTGTCGTCTTCAGTATCGATGGCTCCTTTGCTGCCAGCGTGTCCATCATGGGCAGTGACCCCAAAGTGCGGGCCGGGGCCGTGGATGTGGTGCGGTGAGTGGCCTTAATGGCACCGTGGGACTTGGGTGGGTGGGCTCAGGAGCAGGAAGCTCCTGCAGACCAGGTCGGGGAGGACCTGGGGTGCCCAGCAGGGAACACTTGGCATAGCCCCACTACCTCTGGAGGTGGGTTCCCCTCGCCTGGAGGATGAGGCTGGTTAGAGCCCCGCAGAGGGAACCCCGGCCCAGCCTCAAGGGAGGCCCTGTAAGGGTTTGACGTTGCCGCCGTCACTGCCTGAGCACGGTCAGAGACACTCTCCCACGGAGCGGGGGAGGCCCACGAGACACCCAAGCCCACCGCTCACCCGCAGGCACTGGCAGGACCTGGGCTACCTCATCATCTACGTCACGGGCCGGCCCGACATGCAGAAGCAGCGCGTGGTGGCGTGGCTGGCCCAGCACAACTTCCCCCACGGCGTGGTGTCCTTCTGCGACGGCCTGGTGCACGACCCGCTGCGGCACAAGGCCAACTTCCTGAAGCTGCTCATCTCTGAGGTGGGGTCTGGGGGAGGGGCGGGGCGGGCGGCGGGGAGCGGGGGGCGTGCCTGTGCCTACGCCGGTCTCGCCCACAGCTGCACCTGCGCGTGCACGCGGCCTACGGCTCCACGAAGGACGTGGCGGTCTACAGCTCCATCAGCCTGTCGCCCATGCAGATCTACATCGTGGGCCGGCCCACCAAGAAGCTGCAGCAGCAGTGCCAGGTGAGTGGGCGCGGTGCGGGCCGGGCGCAGGCGGGCGGCTGCAGGGTCCCGGCCGCCCGCGGCAGCCCTGCTCACTGCCCCCGCAGTTCATCACCGACGGCTACGCAGCCCACCTGGCCCAGCTCAAGTACAACCACCGGGCACGGCCCGCCCGCAACACGGCCACCCGCATGGCCCTACGCAAGGGAAGCTTCGGCCTGCCCGGCCAGGGTGACTTCCTGCGGTCCCGGAACCACCTGCTACGCACCATCTCGGCCCAGCCCAGCGGGGCCGGCCACCGGCACGAGAGGACCCAGAGCCAGGCGGACAGTGACCAGCGGGGCCAGCGCAGCATGAGCATGGCGGCCAGCTGCTGGGGCCGCACCATGGCCGGCCGGCTTGAGCCGGGGACAGCTGTGGGCCCCAAGTAGGGCATCGTCAATGAGGCGCTGTGGTCTCCATGGTGCTACACAGCCCGCCAGGAGACGGGCACAGACGCGACCTGGGAGCCCGCCCCCGGGCCCCGCGCAGGACACAGGCCGCACCACACCATCCTCCCCGCCCTGCCTCGTGTCCTCGGGGCTCGAGGCCAGCCAGCGGCAGGATGACCAGGGACCAGGACTCCCCACTCAAGACAGGCCTGGGAGGTGCTCCTGGACCTTCTGCCCTGCACTGGGCTGCAGCATCCTGGCGCCAGGCGTGGGCCCGGCTCCAGCCCGCCGCCGCCCCGGCTGTGACTCAGCCTCCCCCAGCTCCCCGACACCCAGTAGCAGCTCCAGCAGGGGTGCAGCCTGCTTCTCGTGGAGTCGACTTCCTCAGCTGTTCAACCTCACTGGCTTTGCACTGAATTCTGGGAGCGGAGACTCAGTCCCATCTCTGGTTAGACGTCTGGCCGTGCATGAGAATTCGGTGTTTGCTGACCCAGGACCTACTGCCACACAGAAGGCTCCCGTGCCACAGACCGCGTGCGAGCAGGAGAGAAAGGCCATATCTTAATTTATGCAGCCCGGGCCCAGCCACCTGTGCGCCTGCCCCACCAGGAGCCCAGGCCAGCAGCAGGCCTGGCCCGGGTACACGCCGGGGGAAGCGGGCTCCCGAGCAGCCCAGCCTCAGGCCACAGGGCCCGGCCAGGTCCACCCTCCTCTTCCACTCCCTGCCCTCCCGCCCGCGTTTCTACCGCCTTTCTACTTCTCGGTCTGATTTCTATGAGGTTTTTTTAAATGAGCGATCCTTGGCTGCTCCCTTTTCTTAACTCTTTCAGTACCAAGCGCAGCCCCTCCACATTGAAACACCCAGCACTGTGACGGAGTCCAGCCTGGCTCTGGGTCCTGGGCCCTGCCCCACTCAGCGGGGTGTGGACTCCCTCGCCTCACCCAACCCCTGTAACTCCACTGGGTTTCTACTCTGGGTGGGTGGGCACATACTTAGGTCTTTTTATCGCCAGTTCCGTTTCGATGCCGAAGCTGAGAAGCCACGGCTGGCTTCATTAGCCCGGGGGCGGGCAGCCGGGCTCCATCTGCCCCCAGCCAGCGCCGCGCCATCCTGCAGGCCGGGCCTCGGCATCCGCCCTCCCCTTCCCCAGCACCCGGCTCGCAGCTGCTGCACCCTCCCTGAGGTGGGAGAGGCCCACCTGGCCCCTGGCCAGGCTGTCCCCACCGAGAAGATAAGCTGCCACCAACCCGGATCCACCTTCAGGGTCCCAGGGGCTGGGCCGGGGTGTGCCCGGAGGGGTTTTAGGCTCTCCCCGTGTGTGGGTATGTACAGCCCGAGGGCCGGGTCTACACAGAGGGAAAGCTGTGGAGTTTGTGCAGAGGAGGGGCCTTCAGGGTTCACTCGTATTCATGTAGCGTTTTGTTGTTCCAGGAGTTCTGTATAAAGCAAGGACTATTTTATGGACCAAGTTTCCATGTAACTGTTGCAGTCAAAGTGCAATATACGGCCCTTCTGCTCCCGGGCAGGAAGTCGCTGGCCCGACAATCACAGCCCCGCCAGGGGCCCGCGGCCAGTGCCTCCCCCCGTCCTCCCACGTCACCCGTGTCGCCTGCCGCCTCGGTGACCAGCCATCCAGAGAAGCACCTGCAAGTCTCAGCCCGCCTGCAATAAAGGCCGGGAGGCCTCGGTGCGGGGGGCCCTGCGAGCAGGGGGCCCGACCTGTGCCTGGGGCCGCCTCCGCGCCGTGGCCCTGCGCTCCCTGCCTGCCCGCCCTGCCGCCAGCCATGCCAAGGACCACAGCAATAGTCTCCGGGCCTCTCCCAGCGGCCCTCAGCCATAGCCGGTGAGGGGCAGTGAGGGGCAGCCCACCCTCCCCACGCGAGTCTCTTCTGTATCCAGGTCTGCCTGCTGCCTCCCCGAAGATTCCTTCTGGCACATTCTCTTGAGGAAGCAAACAGAGAGAGAGGGCGAAGCCCTTCCAAAATACCAAAAATGTTTACAGCGTTGGGTGCCGAGCCACAGCGCCCGGGCCCGACCAGTCATAACCAAAGGGTGAGGCAGGCCTTGCCGACTGCCACCCGCCCCAGGCCTGTTAGAGTAGAAGCCTTAGCCCTCCCACCACCTGTGCCCTGAACCCCCGATCTGACCAGCCGCCTCTAGGACCTGGACCTCGGAGGAGGCCGTCGGCATTCACCGCCCCCTCCAGCTCCCCCGAGCCACCCACCCGCCTGTCTGCAGCCTCACAGCTGGGCCCCTCCCGTCTGTCCTGTGCCATCGGTGTCTGGGCTGTGTGCGTGTGTGCGCGTGTGTGCGCGTGTGCGCGTGCGTGCGGGTCCTGCCTCCTCCCACCTCGCTGTCCCTGCACTGTGGGCCTGAGTGTGCTCTGTAGACGGCGTCGTCGTCTGTTACAGATTAAAGAAGCAGGAAGGCTTCCTTCTCGTCTCTTCACTCCGGGGTGGGAATGGCCAGGAGGGGACGGCTGCAGGTGGGCCCAGCACTGCAGCCCTGGGGGGAGGGGCCGTCCACCACGCTCGCGTGGGCCTGGCCCCCTTGGAGCACCTTCCCAGGCACAGACCTGGCTTAAATCCGCAGTGACCCGTGGGGACGGGCGCCGGTGACTCCCACCTGGGCTCCCAACCACTTCCACTGCCGAGTACGCACGGCACAGGGGGCAGTTTCTCCCAGGCCTGAGTGACTCCGCGAGTCAGCCTGGATTCCGCGGGGCTGGGGGTGGGGTGTCAGGGTCTACTCCAGGTGGGCTGACTCGCGGTTGAGCAGGGCAGAGGTGGTGGGGTGGGGACACCCCAAAACCCCACCAGGGCTCCTGGCGTCCCTGTTTTCCCTGGAAGTCAGGGGTGCCCTCCCCACCAACCCAGCACAGAAAGTAACAGCACAGGAAGTTAGCCAGGATGTGTTTAATGTGGGGGTGTGGGGGTAAGGGACCCCTCCTCCAGCCCTGCACCCGGCGGGGGCTGCCCATCCGGGCTGTGCGGCCAGCACCGTCCACGGCCCTGCGCCAGCCGGGCCTCAGGGAAGCAGCCCGGCTCGCATCTGGAAGGCCAGGCCGTCCCCGCGGGTGGCTTGCTGGGGAAAAGAGCACACAGGAAGGGGGGTCAGAGCGGGGGTGGGGGTGGGACTGGAGGCGGGGGGGGGGGCAGCACCAACCTTGTTGATCTCTCGGTGCCGCTCTTTGGTGACGATTTCCTCCAGGACCTCGCCGTCTCCCTTAATGAGCCTGGGGGCGGGCGGGTGTCGGGTCAGCCAGAGCAGGGCTGCGGGGCCAGCACGGCCCTGCACAGGGCTCCAGGCCCAGGCCCCCGCACGCACCTCACGCAGCGGGTGCCTGGCGCTCTCACCGCTCCTGCCCCCTGGGGCGCGGCCGGGCGGCCCCTACCTGGTGCGGCCGGTCTCAGGGTCCACTACCCTGCGGATGACGCTCTGCCGCGCGTCCCACTCCTCCTTGGTCATGGGCTTCATGGCCTGGATGCGGGACTTCTGCGCGTCCGTCAGCGCTGGAAGGGAGACGAGGGCGGTGGGGGGCGGCCCCGGGGAGGGGTCCTCTCCCTCCTGCAAGGCTGGGCCGCTCAGTACCTGGGCCACCACCCCCGTCTCCGGCGGATCGGTGCCACTGGTCCAGAGAGGGGCCCGGCAGCGCCTCGGGCGGCTGCGCCTCCGCCTTCTCCCTCAGCTTCCTCCTCTTCTTCCTCTTCTTCCTTTCTTGTGCCTGTGCTTTCCCCGCTTCTTGCGGCCCCTGCTCGAGGAGGAGGAGGAGGAGGAGGACGAGGAGGAGGACGCGGGGCTGGAGGAGCTGGAAGAGGAGGAGGGGGAGCTGCAGCACGCTCTCCGCAGGGCCTTGTGCTTGCTCCGCTCTGTGACACCGGGGGGAGGCGAGGCTGGGCCAGGAGGGGAGAAGAAAACCATCCTTGCCCTGGCCTGCGGCAGGCTGGGGCGCTGCAGGGCGAGACACCCCCCCCCCCCGGCCGCCCAGGGAGCAGCTCGGGCCGGCTGCAGAGCGCAGGGTGAGACCCCCGGCCACCCAGGGAGTAGGCCCAGCTGCAGAGCGCAGGGTGAGACCCCCGGCTGCCCAGGGAGCCGGCCCAGCTGCAGAGCACAGGGTGAGACCCCCGGCCGCCCAGGGAGCGGGCCCAACTGCAGAGCGCAGGGCGAGACACCCGTCGCCCAGGGAGCCAGGGAGCAGCGCAGACCGGCCGCAGAGCGCAGGGCGAGACCCCCGGCCGCCAGGGAGCGGGGTGCAGCGCAGGCCCGGCTGCAGAGCGCAGGGCGAGACCCCCGGCCGCCCAGGGAGCGGGGAGCAGCGCGGGCCCAGCTGCAGAGCGCAGGGTGAGACCCCCGGCCGCCAGGGAGCGGGGTGCAGCGCAGGCCCGGCTGCAGAGCGCAGGGTGAGACCCCCGGCCGCCCAGGGAGCGGGGAGCAGCGCGGGCCCAGCTGCAGAGCGCAGGGTGAGACCCCCGGCCGCCAGGGAGCGGGGTGCAGCGCAGGCCCGGCTGCAGAGGGCAGGGCAGCGCGCTCCCTTCCAGGCCTCCAGGCCCGGCGGGGTCTTTCCGTGCAGGCTGCGCCTCCTTCCCGCTTCCCCGCTGCGGGACCCCCGAAGCCGGCCCGGCCGGCCCCTACCCGCACGGTCCTCACCCGCCGCCAAGCAAGCGGAGCCGGCCTTGCGACCTTGGGACCCGGAGGCCGAGCAGTTCCTCGAGGCGTCCCTACTGTTCTTCCTCCGCTTTTTCTTCCCTCGCCCCCGGGAGTGACTGCGACTCCTCGAGCGCTTGCGGGAGCCGACGTGAGCCATCGCGCGCGCGCTGCGAAGGGGAGACGGCGCCTAGCCCGCAGCTCCCCTGGGCCTGGCCCGAAGGCAGGGCTCGGCGGGCGGCTCCGCGGGGCGCCCAGTACCCAGCACCCATCACGACCCCGCAACCTCTGGGACCCCGGCTTCTCCGACCCCCGGGTTCCGCGAAGCGGCCCCTTTAAGGGCCCGCCCCCAGCCAGACGCCGCACGCCTGCGCAGCGGGCTGGGCGCCCAGGGAACCGCCGCGTACCTCAGCCGCGAGGGACGTCCGGAGACCACCTCCGCCCACGCCCTCGCCTGCCCTCACCGCCGCGCCGTCCGAGCCTGAAGATGGTCCAGGGCAGTCCCGGTCCCAGCTCAACAGTCCGAGCGGCCGTCCCGCCCCGCGCCGCCGCCGCTTCCGGCCCGGGCGGTGCGCAGGGAGGCCGTCCGGCCGGGAAGCGACGCCCCGCTGCCTTCGGTCCTGGAGACGCAGGTTCCGCCCGAGGCGCGCCCACCTTCCGCGGCGGCGAGCTGGGGGCTCCCGGCTGCCGAGTGCGGGCGGGGGCAGGGTCGGGCCCCGCACGCCGGCCTTCGCCGCAGCTCCGTCCCCGCGAGGGCCAGGGGAGCAGGTGGCCCTGCCGCCCGCTCCGTCGGACTGGGACGCCCGCGGTCGCCCCGTCAGGGCCCGGCGGGACCCCAGCGTGGCGCGAGGGGAGGCCCCAGGCTCGGCGCCGGCGGGGCTCTGCGCGGTGCGGACGGAACTCGGGCTTTCGAGTCCGTGCCCAGAGCGGACGGGGGCCGAGCGCTTGGTAAACGGCTCGCTCGCTGCGTCCCCACGACTCGAGGAAAGCGAAGGCGCCGAGGCTGGGTGGGTGCGCCCTGCGCCCCCGCGCCCCGGGCCCCCGCGCCCCGCCCCAGCCTCCCGGGCCCCGCGGCAGAGCCAGGGTGCGAGCTCAGCCCGAGCGCCCACGGCTGACCCGCACGTGCAGGGCTGGGGAGGCAGCTGCCCTCCCGCACGCCCCATCACGCAGCTACCGGAGCCCCTGCCGGGCCTGGCGAGGCCGGACTTGCCTGCAAACCGCATCTCTGCCCAGCCGCTCCCCGCCCGCCCCGCCCCGCTGAGGGCCCTCCCGCACCATCCCGCACCAGGCTGCCCAAGGAACGACCCGGAGGCTGCTAGGAGTCGCGCGCCTGGCGTTTATTTCTGCCCCTGCAAGCCCGCGCCTGCCAGACTCAGGTCAGCGCGCACACGTCCACCGTGGTGGGCTCCTCCCGCGTGAAGCCGTCGCCGAAGCCCTCGTCGTCCACCAGGTCGGGCTCCCGGCGGCACATGGGACACAGGCGGTTGCGCACGGCAGAGGCCCGGAGCCAGACGACGAGGTTCCAGCGCTCGCCGGTGCCCAGGGGCCGGGCTCCGTGCAGCTGGCCGCCCCGGTGCAGGACGCCCTGGCCCACCAGGTGCTCCACCTCCAAGGGCTCCGTCAGGGCTGCGGGTGCCTGCGGAGCGTGGGGCTCAGGCCTGCGCGCCCGCGCGGCTGCCCCGGCCCGGCCCCTGGGGTCTCACCCGCTCACCTGGAAGAGGTCCCCGAAGTACAGGGCGCCCCCCGTGAAGGCCTTGCCCAGGGCCACGTTGAGGGTGAGCTCGGCGTTATCGTAGTGGCAGCCCAGCGCGCGGTCCTGGCCCGGGGCGTACTTGACCACGAAGGCACGGTGGCTGTCCAGCCGGCCCCCGCCGCAGTCGGGGTACAGCAGGGCCGTCAGGGGCTGCAGGAAGCGCTCCCGCAGGGGGGTCACCAGGGGCTCGTCCAGGCCCAGCTCGTGCAGCAGCACCTGCGAGGGGTCCTGGGCTCAGCCGGCACCGCCGGGGGGGCCCCGCTCCACCCCACGGCCGCTCACCCACCCCGTAGTTGTTCATGGTGTTGGGCCGTCCCTTGGGCAGGTCCGACTGCTCGAAGTGCTCCAGCTCCTGCAGCAGGGCGCGGCAGAAGGGCGCGGCGAACACGGGCACCCGGTAGATGCGCCTCCCCTCTGGGGAGGGAGCGGCCGGCTGTCGGCTGTTGGCGGAGCTGCGCGGGCCTGGGGGAGCGTCCTGCAGGCGCCCCGGCTGCACAGCAGAGCCCGGCCGGGAGGGGAGGGGACCAGAAGGCCAGCCACGGAGCCAAGCCCGCGCTGCAGAGCCGTACGCGCCCCCGCACCCTGTCCCGTGGCCGGGCCCCCCAGATCCGCACCCGGCTCAGAGGCGTCTCTTGGAGCCTGTTTCCCGCACGGGGGGGTGGGGAGGGCTGCTCCTTCTAGCTGGGCCCTGGGGACAGAGGCCAGGCAGGGAAGGGACAGCTAAACACCTCTTAGCACAGGCCCCGGCGCCCGGAGGGGCAGGCAGGGGCTCCTGTGTCCCCTGCAGCCCCACCTCAGCTGCAGTGTGGGCGAGAGCTCTCTGGGAGGGGCTGCGCTGCACTGGCCACACCCCCAGCCTGGCCGCCAAGAGAGTGGCTCCCCCACCCCCCCACCCAGTCCCGACCTGGCTGACAAGCAGCCGGACACAGGACCCTGGGCCGAGCGCTCTGTGCGGCCCACCGGGGATGACAACACGAGGAGGGGGGATAAGGAAGCAGGGCAGCCAGCACGCAAGGGGACCCCAGCAGGAAATCGCTCAGAGCTCCGGCCGTGGCCCCTGGCCGGCAGCTGGGTCTCGGTCACTTTCCCCACGAGCTAGGGGAGCTAAGCGCTCTCCTTTGCTGGCCGTGCGGGGGAGGGGCGTCGGCGTGGGCTCCGCCCCCCCGCTGGTGCCTCAGCTCTGCCTGATCTGGCCCGAGGTCCCCGCGGGAGGCTCCCTGTGTCCCTGCTGCCCCCACACAAGCCCTGCTGTGTGCGGAGCGAGTGACCGCGCACCGGCCCCACCGCAGCTCCCAGCTCCCGGTGGTCGGGTTTGCTGGGGGGCCCTGGTCCGCCACATCCAGGAACCTCAGGCTGCTGCCCCCCAGCGCCCCCAGGCCCTCACCGGACACCGTCTCCAGCCGCTGGAGAAGGCCCTCCAGGCCTGCGCCCGGGGTCGAGCTGTACTCAGCTGCAGCCAGAAACTCAGGGGCCAGAGACGCCTCCTGGGGACGGGCGGGCGGCTGGGTCAGGACACCGCCCTCCTCCCGAGCCGCCCCCACCCCCACTGCGCCCCCACCCCGCACCTGCAGCGAGCGGTACACGTCCGGCCGGGCCGGGAGGTAGGAGCTGGCAATGAGGGCTCTCCGGGCAGCCGACTCCTGCGCCAGCCGCCGCCGCCGTCCCACCTCCTGCTCGAGCTGCGGAGGCACCGGGCTGACTCAGGCCCCGCTCGGGGCCGCTCGGGCCTGGCGGGAAGCCGCAGTGCCATGCACGTCGGAGCCGGAGCTGTCGCCGGAGGAGGCTTACCGGGCTGAGCCCGGATGGGACGCGAGCCCCCGGGGTCCCCTCAAAGCGGGGCCACGATCGGGGGCCACGGGGGGCTCTCCCGGGGAGCTGACTCCCCGGCGGGCAGAGGCAGCCACGCAGCCTCGGGGAAGCGGTGCCAGGGCCCGGCAACCTCGCCCACCCGCTGTGACACCCTGGGCAAGTGCACCTGCTCCCGCTGCCCAGCCGCGGCTCCTCATCCCGGGCGCGGGGGCGGCCGGGGCGGGGCGGAAGGGAGGAAAGGGTGGGCTGAGGGGTCCTTCTGGGGCAGGGACTGACGGATCGAGGCCGCGGGGGAAGGCGTCAGCCCGGGGCGGGCGCTGCTACCTCTGCCAGCAGCTGCCGGAAATCCTCGGCGCCGACGCAGCCTCGGGCGCGCAGAACCTGCGGGCAGGTGGACCGGTGGGTGTGGCTGCTGCCCGCAGGGCCTGCGTCTGCCTTCCCGGACCCCGCAGGACCCCCGGGGCAGGTGACCAGTGCACCAGCGGGCGTGGCTGCGGCCCGGGCCTGCCCGGGCCTCCGTCTGCCCTCCCGCACCCCGCAGGACCCCCGGGGCGGGTGACCTGCGGCCAGTGGACCAGTGGACCAGTGGGCGTGGCTGCGGCTCTGGCCTGCCCGGGCCTGCGTCTGCCCTCCCGCACCCCGCAGGACCCCCGGGGCAGGTGACCAGTGGACCAGCGGGCGTGGCTGCGGCCCGGGCCTGCCTGGGCCTGCGTCTGCCCTCCCGGACCCCGCAGGACCCCCAGGGCGGGTGACCTGCGGCCAGTGGACCAGTGGGCGTGGCTGCGGCTCCGGCCTGCCCGGGCCTCCGTCTACCCTCCCGCACCCCGCAGGACCCCCGGGTGCTCCTGGCCGCCCGCCCAGGCCACTCACCGCGCCGTAGTCCCGGCGCAGCTGGCGCTCGTCCCGGAAGCGCACGTGCAGCCCGTAGCGCGCCACGTACAGGTTCTCGGTGCAGAAGCAGGCGCAGCGGCAGAAGCGCCGCGGGGCCCCGGCCGTCGCCATGGTGACACGCCGCGCGCTCCCGAGGCCGCAGGGCACTTCCGGGCACGCCCCCAGCCTGGTGGGTGGGACCTGCTGTCAAGGGACCGTCGTAGGTTCCCAAGAGCGGAAAAGAACGAAGACTGCGTGCCCAAAACGGGCCCGTCCGAGGGCGAGAGCGGTCCCCCAGCTTCGCCGCACAGAGGCCCCACCGTGGGGTACGCACTAAGTGGCCCCGCTGTCACAGGGCGTGAGCAGGCAGGGACTCCGCCCTCTCGGCTGCTCGGAGCTGCTGGACGTCACGAGCGAGGCAGGACCGCGGAGCCCGGACAACCATCGGTCCTACACGCCTGAGCTGGAGCTCGGCCTTTACCCCCGGTGCCTGACCGGCGCCGGCGGGGCGTCTGCCGAGGTCGCTCGGGCCCTGTCCTCGTTTGCCCTGTGGGTGTCTCGGTGAAAACGCTCCGGCTCGGCGACTTCCGGCGGCAAGGCCGAGGGCGTGGTGTGGGCGGGGCGCGGGGCGGGGCCTCGGGCGGCCGCACCCCCACGCCGGGACCGGGCTGGAGCTGAGTGTGCTAGTGTTTTCCAGGGCGCGCTGCGGGACCTCGGGGAGACCCTCAAAGAGCCCCCGCGCCCTTGCCGCGGCGTCAGCGGCGGTGCCTTCCGTGCAACCCCCAGGCCCAGGTCTGCAAAGCCGCACAGACGAGCGTGGGTGACAGACCCTCGGCTCGGAGTAGGGGAGGTCCGGGGGACCCCTGCCCGCCGCGTTCCCCCCACGACGCAGGGGGATGCGGGCGTCAGACTCCAGCCCTGTCCCCAGATAAGCAGGTGACCAGGAATGACGGCTCCTGCGGGCTCCCCAGAGCTACCACCCAGCCGCCCTGTGTCTCGGAGCCAGGTACTGTCAGGTCGCCACGTTGCAGGTGGGAGAACGGCCCCCAGCACCTGTCCACTGAGACCGCGGCTCCGGCTACAGGCGACCCTCCCGCAGCTAGTGGGTTTCCCCAAGGAGGGGAGTAACCGCCGAGGGCCTGCCCCCGCCCCCCCGGACCCAGCTCCCCAGCCCGCCCGCTGCCTGGCCCAGGGAAGCGTTTAAACTTTTACAGTTGTCTTTGCCAGGTGGGATGAGAAGGGCCCTGCTGCCCGGGAAAGTATCTGTCTGTCCCCAGCTCATGGCTGTCAACTGCCCAACCGCCTGTCTCCTGGCGCCAGGAAGGCCAGGCAGGTGCACCCTGCCCCGCCCCAGCTCACCTGCTGGGGTCTCTCCCTTTGCATCGGTTTGCAAGAGGCGTATGTTGTGCTTCGCAGTTTAGAACGGTCCAGTAAGCCCAGGGAGGCGCAGAACCAGGACTAGAACGCCGTCCCTCCGATTCTAGAGTGGTGTGTGTGCACGTGTGTGTGTGCGCTCAGCATCTGTCATCGGCAGCACACGCACAAAACGAGGACTCGCAGCCTAAGTGCACAGATCGTTCATGATGCCCACATGACACCCACATGTCCAAGGCGGAACATTCCAGACCCCGCGTTCCCTGCCCACCACTGCCCAAGGGTAGTCACGTCGCTGACCCCCTCCTCGCAAAGGCGAGCCTTGTCTGTCATTGAATCTGACACAACCAGCACACGGCACCGGGTGGGCACGGCAGGCGCCACTCCAGAACCTCCGATGCCGAGCCGTTCTGTGTGCGGCGTCTCCCGGGCAGCATCGTGCTGCGCAGGGCCGCGGTTCGCTCTCTGTCCAGGCTGCGTGATGCTCTCTGGACTGGACATCCCATAACCAAGCGGCCCATCCAGCGGTGGCCTGCGGGAGCATTGCGCATGCGCCGCCGCCGTGAGCTGCTCGTATGTGGGGTGAGTGACCCGTCGTGGCGCTTGCCACTCAGTGGCTTTCTGTTTCACTTCCTGAGAGGGTGTGCATGGTTCCCCGTCCTCCGCGCCCGGCCGCAGCCTCCCTCACCTCCCCGCCCCCTCTGTGTGGCGGCCGCTCCCCCGCCGACACTGGCTCACCCCGTGGGCGCTGTGGCTCCTGGCCGTGTGCATGACGCGTGTCACACGCCTACGCCCCGGAGGCCCCGGAGTGAGCTCCTCTGCCCCGCACCTGCCCCGTGTCACCTGCCCTACAGGTGGGACTCAGCGCTCAGCAGGTGCAAGACGGGCCAGGTGGGCGGCGCATCCGCCCAGGGGAAGGTTTCCTGATGTGTGGGGTTCCCCAAGGTCGATGCGCCCCGGTCTGGATGCACCACGGTTGTCGTGTCGGTGCTCCCGTGCGTGTCTGCCGCCCTGCGTAGGCAGTTATGAATGACGCTGCGGTTCCCCCGTGGGCAGGGGTTTTCTGCCTGGTGACTACCAAGAGGTGTCGGTGGCAAAACTGTGTTCAGTTTTATAAGAAACTGCGGAACGGTCTTCCCAAGTAGCCACCCCCTTTCAGTCCCAGCAGGACTGAGTTCCTGTTGCTCCAGTCTCTGGACGTCCTGGCCGGCGTCTCGCTCTTTGATTTGCATGTTCTTGATGACACAGGGTCATATGCTCATCTGCCATCTGTATGTCTTCTTAAGGTCATGTATGTGAAAAGCAGAGAGGGAGAGAGGGAAAGACAGAGATGGAGGGAGATCTTCAGTCCACTGGTGCACTTTCCCGATGGCCACACTGGCCAGGGCCGGGCCAGGCTGAAGCCAAGAGCCAGGAAGTCTACCCGGGTCTCCCATGGGGGTGGCAAGGACCCAGGCACTTAAGCCATCACCCGCATTCTCCCAGGATGTGGTAGCAGGAAGCTGGGTCAGAACTGGAGCAGCCAGAACTCAGCCAATGCTCTGATACGGGAGGCTGGCATTGCAAGTGGTGGCTTAGCCTGCTGCGCCCGTCGCCAGCCCCGTGGGCGCTGTTCTTCGGC